GGAAGTGATCCGTGTAACTTAGGATGTGGTCAATGTAACCTAGGAAGTGGTCCATGTAACCAAGGAAATGATCCATGTTACCGAGAAAGTGGTCCATGTTACCTAGGAAGTGGTCCATGTTACCTTGGAAGTGGTCCATGTAACCTAGCGGTGGTACAAGTAACCAAGGAAGTGATCCATGTTACCGAGAAAGTTGTCCATGTAACCTTGGAAGTGATACATGTAACCTTTGAAGTGGTCCATGTAACGTAGGAAGTGGTATATGTAACTTAGGATGTGGTCCATGTAACCTTAGAAGTGATCCATGTTACCTAGGAAGTGGTCCATGTAACCTAGGAAGTGGTCAATGTAACAGATAAAGTGATCCATGTAACCTAGGAAGTGATACATGAAACTTAGAAAGTGGTCCATGTAACCTTGGAAGTGATCCATGTTACCGAGAACGTCGTCCATGTAACTATGAAGTGCTCCATGTAACCTAGGAAGTGGTCCATGTAACCTTGGAAGTGGTCCATGTAACCGAAGAGGTGGTACATGTAACCTAGGAAGTAGTCCATGTAACTTTGGAATTGATCCATGTTACCGAGAAAGTGGTCCATGTTACGTAGGAAGTGGTCCATGGAATCTAAGAGGAGGTACATGTAACCAAGGAAGTGATCCATGTTACCGAGAAAGTTGTCCATGTAACCTAGGAAGAGATCCATGTAACCTTGGAAGTGGTCCATGGAACCTAAGAGGTGGTACATGTAACCAAGGAAGTGATCCATGTTACCGAGAAAGTGGTCCATGTAACCTAGGAAGTGATACATGTAACTTAGAATGTGGTCTATGTAACCTTTGAAGTGATCCATGTTACCGAGAAAGTGATCCATGTTACCTAGGAAGTGGTCCATGTAACCTAGGAAGTGGTCCATGTAACCTAGGAAGTGGTCCATGTCACTAAGGAAGTGGTCCATGTCACTTAAGAAGTGGTCCATAGAACCTTGGAAGTGATCCGTGTAACTTAGGATGTGGTCTATGTAACCTTGGAAGTGATCCGTGTAACTAAGGATGTGGTCTATATAACCTTGGAAGTGATCCGTGTAACTTAGGATGTGGTCTATGTAACTTAGGAAGTGGTCCATGTAACTTAGGATGTGGTCCATGTAACCTAGGAAGTGGTCCATGTTACCTAGGAAATGGTTCATGTAACCAAGGAAGTGGTCCATGTAACCTAGGACGTGGCCCATGTAATAGAGGAAGTGGTCCATGTAACCTAGGACGTGATCCGTGTACCCAAAGTAGTGGTCCATGTAGCCGAGGAAGTGGTCCATGTAACCTATGAAGTGGTCCATGTTACCTAGGAAATGGTTCATGTAACCAAGGAAGTGGTCCATGTAACCTATGAAGTGGTCCATGTAACCTAGGAAGTGGTCAATGTAACAGAGAAAGTGGTCCATGTAACCTAGGACGTGATCCGTGTTCCCAAAGTAGTGGTCCATTTAGCCGAGGAAGTGGTCCATGTACCCAAGGAAGTGGTCCATGTAACCTATGAAGTGGTCCATGTAACCTAGGAAGTGGTCAATGTAACCTATGAAGTGGTCCATGTAACCTAGGACGTGATCCGTGAACCCAAAGTAGTGGTCCATGTAGCCAAAGAAGTGGTCCATGTACCTAAGGAAGTGGTCCATGTAACCTACGAAGTGGTCCATGTTACCTTGGAAATGGTCCATGTAACCAAGGAAGTGGTCCATGTAACTAGGAAGTGATCCATGTAACAGAGAAAGTGGTCCATGTAACCTAGGACGTGATCCGTGTACCCAAAATAGTGGTCCATGTAGCCGAGGAAATGGTCCATGTAACCTAAGAGGTGGTCCATGTAACCGAAAAGTGGTCCATGTAACTAGAAAGTGATCCATGTTACCGAGGAAGTGGTCGATTTAACCCAGGAAGTGGTCCATGGTACAAAAAAGCCTTCACAACTGACTTTCAAACCTCCCCTACTTGTGGTCAGTAACTCCATCTTGGATGACCCCCATCATCATGTAGGTGTTTTACGTCGGCTTCAGGCAGGGGTATGTCGCCGACGAGATAGGTGAGAGCTACAGTCCGCATGGCTCAAAAGCGGACCGATGAATTACAATCTGACTCTGAAAGTAATACACCTAAAATGCTCAATGAAATGCTGATCATAATCAAAACATCAGACCAACTCTAACGCCGCCCCCTAAAATTTATGTACAAAGCAAGTGACCAACCTGCATGTCATGTACAAAATCAATGGACCCCCTCCCCTTCCCATAATTTTTAAGCAAAAATTTTTAATATTGAAAATTGATGACCTCCTAGTGCATGTGTACAAAATTAATGAGCCCCCCCCACACACACACACACACGTGTACCTCCCCTGAACAAATTGAGTGACAAACACACACACACACACACACACACAAATAACCTTTTCTTCTTTTCTCTTAAATACGTATTGAAAAAATATCTCGAATCTGTTCATTCAGGGAGTCTGAGCTCTCATTAATGACTGCGAGAGATAGACGATGATTTTAGTCTGTTTGTTAACGCGACACACAGCTATATGACGGCTGCTTGTACATAATCAATTCTGGACCAGACAATCCAATGACTAACCTCTTTTTAATGACTGTCAAAGAAGTCAGAAAACTCATTTTACTTTCTTGATCTGGAAAGCGATTCTCTGACTTGTCGGAGATATATTGTTATCTTTGTACATCAACGGTAAATGATAAAGGGAGACAACTCTTCAAACTTTAGAGGCCAAACCTTGTTCAAATTTTCAATTTTAATCATGAAGTCAGTGGACGTGATTTAAAAAAAAAATGTAATGTCCTTGTACGTAAACATTAATGATACATAATAACCCTCTTTATACTATTCTATACTAACGTATAGAAAATACTTCACACTGAAGCGGTGGGGTAGCCTAGTGGATAAAGAGTTCGCTCATCACGCCGAAGACCCGGGTTCAATTCTCCACATGGTTACAATGTGTGAAGCCCATTTCTGGTCTCCCCCACCATGATATTGATGGAATATTGCTAAAAGTGGCGTAAAACTAAACTCTACCACCCACCTGATCCACTCTTATGTAAACATGTTCTATCTATCTATCTATCGTGGTGTAAAGAATAAAACGAGGTTGTTATCCATAAAACGTGTCATGCTCTCAGGGTATACCCCCATAACGCTGACCTCCCAGAATGCAGATAAAAATAGCACACCAAATATAGCACACAGTAAGAAAGGTCGTTCTGACGTAACACAAGAAACCCGTCAAACGTGTTTATTAAGATATTAAGTTAAACCTAGAAGGTGCGATTTAACTTCATTGTAAGATATATCTATACAAAATATAACTTCTATCAACTCTTATGTTTAGAAACAAGCTATAATTTTATGAGACACATAAAGAATATATTACCTTGACCAAGAATCACAGTTGACATGGGCATAAGAAAGAACGTGAGCATAGTATATGATATGTCTGCTATAAAACAAACGTTTTGTTTTAAACATATTTTATTCATGAGAAAAGGATTGGGTACAAGTTATACAACTTAGAACACCCTCTCCGTACAAACAACCGTTGAAGACTGTTTGACAAATAAAGTGAATGAAAGCAATTTAAAACGTTTAGGCTAACACAATATACTTTAAAGCGACAGTGAGATATCATTTTCACAGAGTGCCGCCCTTGAGATCAGGGTGTAAACAAGAAAAAACGTATTACAAGAAAACATGGTAACAGGTTCAGTAGTCAAAGACAGGCAATCTAAAGGATACAATACAATGGTAATACAATAAATATTAATATTTGCACATAGGCATGGTTTATATGCTAAAAGTTATCTATGCTAAAAATAACCAGTGGTCTTGAGATCAGGGTGTGAACAAGAATACCGTGATACAAGAAAGCATAGTAACAGTTTCAGTAATTAAAGAAGACAGTCTAAAGGATACAATGGCAATACTTTAATGTTTGCACATAGGTGTGGTTTTACATGCTAAATATAAAATAGCTATAACATTTAAAACAAACGTTACATGTGAATATACAAGAAACGCCAAGAAAAATACAGGCTAACTATTCTCAGAAACGTTCGTAGCCCTACGAACGTCTTAAATACATTCTTTAACGATCAAAGTTAAGAATTCTTATGGTTACGAACGTTTCGAAAATAAGGGCACAGGCGTCGGTTGAAGAATTCATTGACGGAGCAAGAAAATAAAATTAACAGTGTCAGAGATTCTGATATAAATTCAGTTAATATTAGAATGCTCTCCTGTTCAGGTTAAAAATATCAGTTTTGAAAAATCATCAAATAATATCGTAATACCTTCTCAGGAAGCTGAACTCATTTTTACGCATCTTTGGCTTTTGAATGAGTGAATGAGTTTAGTTTTACGCCGCTTTTAGCTATATTCCGGCAATATCACAGCGGGGGACACCAGAAATGGGCTTCACAAATTGTACCCATGTGGGGAATCGAACCCGGGTCTTCGGCGTAACGAGGGAACGCTTTGACCAATAGGCTTCCCCATCGCCCCCTATGGCTTTAGACCCCAGGCAACATTGAAAGGTACGATGCATTATGGATAACAACTTATCATCCATGAAGCATCGTGTCTTTCTTATTATTCATCAACTGATCAACTGAAATGTCAATCAGATAGGTTAGAGAACATGTTTATTTTAGGTCATGGATGTATGCACATTAAATGAAACACCGAGAACAAGTGGGGTTGGTCTAAGTTAACACTCATCACGTACATTTGTTTCAGTGTTCCAACTACTGCGCTCACCCCCCTTGTAATACAAACCAATAATAGCGATTTGAATCTATGATCGTTTGTTAAACAACTTTTATCCTAAGATTAATAAATTATGAGATTCAAATGTTCAATTGGCAAGGTAAAATTATGAGGATTCGCAATCTTAATTTCACTTTATTTGATTTACTTTTTGTTTAAAGTGAAATTCATCGGCACGTTTTCACTGCAAACAGACTATACATCGCTGCACTGGGAAAGTTCCAAGATGTGGATTACTTCACAACTTTTTTCTATGCATTTGTTTCCTTAAATCACAAGTTGATAGGTTTTTGCTAAAATAGGGCCTTTAGAGGCAAATTACTAGCAATTAGAGGGCTCTTTAAGGCTAAAACAAATTTAAAGCCGTTTTTAGGGAAAATTGTCCAAATTTCAGGGTTTCTCAAGCTGGAGCGAACCCAGAACATATATTTTGAACATGTGCTTTCATGTTTTAATATCAAAGTCTCCAATACCATCTGTTAAAGCAGTGTATCACAGCATCAGAGTTCTGTAGCTTACCTTCACAATACAAAAATATATAAAGGTTCTTGACATGCACAAGGGCTAAAGCTGATTCGGAAATAGTGCAGTTTTTGAATTAAAATAAAAATGCAAGTGGTAAAACGTATCGGTTTCATTCATTACATAATGCAATTATGGAATACTTTCACAAATTGAATATTGAGGCATTATTTGTGGAATGAGGTTTCGTCATTACTGGACCGAGTATATTTGAAAACAGATATGACTCCAGGTCCTAGCGACGATTCTAAAGACACTCAGTATCTATCTCAACTGATTCCGCGACCTCCTTCTGGGAGCTTCCACCACCCCAGCCTCCTGTAATTCGTCCAGAAATACCCTGGCCTTTGTCTTAAGCCTGGCAGGAAGCCGAGGAGCGCTGATGAAGTACTTGTACTGTCGGTGGTCGGCATCGTTAAGTCTGAAACGACTACCTTCACGCCGAAACCTCTGCTTCAGAGTCTCGATTCCATCCACGTCGCTGTCGATGACGACGTTGTAAAGATGGCGGAGGACGGGGTTGACAGCTGAGCTGGTTCCGGTTGAGACAGGGAGATCTCGTAACAACCTTCTCTCTTCATCTTTGAGATGGTCGTTTGGAGTTAGCTCCGTGTATTTGACGACCAGGTCTCTCTTCAGTATGTCATATGCTTTTTGTTGTAGTCTTTGAGCCAAGTTCTTCAGTTTTGAGTTGTTGCTTCTCTTTGCGGCATATAACATATTCAATTGAGGTGAAGTCGCAAAAAATGAGTCCCCTTGTGAAGTCATCTCTTCTTCTATCATCTTCAGCTCGTTCTTCAGAAATTCGATTTTCAACCTCCTGACAAGAACAGGGAACCTGTCAATTTCTGTGATTCGGACCAGTCTCAGAGCTTGGATGTCATCTTCATCCGAAATATCAGCAAAAGCGATATCGCTTGCGTACTTCGATTCAAACTGGCGCAGAACCTCCTTCACGACTGACCCGAATTCATTGCTGTTTGACGTCACTGCTTCGTTCCATCGAAAGTTCAGCTCATAATCTACCCGTTCCTTGAAACCTCTCCAGAGATCCTTATGGTCAAGTATGCTGAAAACAAGAAGTGTAAGTATTGCATGCAATGTGTTGTGGTTTATGAATCTGAATGTGAAACCATTTTCTGTAAAATATGTTCATTTCAGAGACGAGCTCTGATAGTTACTTCATTAGGGGCGGTGGGGTAGCCTAGTGGTTAAAACGTCCGCTCGTCACGCCGAAGACCCGGGTTTGATTCCCCACATGGGTCCAACGTGTGAAGCCCATTTCTGGTGTCCCCCGCTGTGCTTTTGCTGGAATATTGCTAAAAGCGGCATGAAACCAAACTCACGCACTTATGATGACTTACACCTTTCACCTACCTTTTCAGTTTCTCATACACCTCTGGTATCAAAATCCGCACATCTGCACATGCGTATTCGATCATTTCCGGTGTTAATTCTTTTGTAGCCCAATAAGCAGCATTGCTTTTGTACAATTTGGCCTGAATCATACAAGTCAGAATCACGTCAGTCAGAAAGGTTCTTTACCGTGTCACATTATGACGGTGTCAAGGAAATGTTTGGGTTTATTTTCTATAACGCGACAATCAGCATTATTCCAGCTATGGACAATCCAGTGATCAACAGCAGGAACATCGATCTATGCAACTGGATTACCATGACACATGTCACCGAAGTCAACAAGCCTGACCCTCCAATCCCGTTAGTCGCCTCTTACGACAAATATATAGGTTGATGAAGATCAATTCTAACCCGGATCTTCAAGGGTTTACTGAAAAAGCAAACCCCACTACATCGGTGGTACTTGAGACGCATTACAACAACAACAACAACAAAATACGGGAAATTGTTTTCGTCGTGACTTACAAGTCACAGACATTGAGTACGTGTTGCCAGATTTTCACAAATATCTGTTACAGTTTTTTGTTGTTGTTTTTTTGGGGGGGGATATCATAAAAATAATGATTTTGTTGAATCGCATGACTCTGTCAGTCTAAAACACGGTTGACTGCGATTATTTAAAGCACGCATCAAAATGGTAAGATTGTCAGCAGCGGAGGGAGTACAGTAGCGTCATCAGCAGCAACGATGTTGGGTCACCGCATTTGCAGCAGAACAGTGACGATAGTCACAACTGGGGATCAACTCTGTGGTCTTTTCGCATCACGCACACAATATTTGTAACTTGTCCCAATAAAAATATTTTGCCTGTTGTTTTTAAAAATCATCAAACGCACATGGTGTATACTTTCATTTGAACGTCAGTATATATACATTTCATTTTTTACCATGACGCTTTTGCTGTTCCTAATACAAAATGTGTACAGGTAGCATACATTATTTAGCGAACTTTATTTTTATATTAGCCATTAGAATTTAGTCAATTCGCCTTTTTTCTTCTTTAAAGGTTTTGTAATCAAATGATTATTGATATCTTTCAGTGGCATTTAGAAGTTGTACATTGATGTCCAAGATATTTTTATGGATTAAAAATTAAAAAAGAAGTTTAATCCATAAAAATATCTTGGACAAATGATTATTGTTTTAATAGTTAAATTTCTGGTTTGGAAAATACAGGAAATCTGTGAATAAAAACGAAAAAAACATAAGTCTTAGAATAATTCCGACTTGCCAATCCAGTGACTTAAATCATATGATATGATTTCAGAGGAAATAGGGATACCATCTGCCACCTGATTCTTAAAGAATTAGTAAATGGGAATATTGTGTAAATCATGTCACTTCCAGTAATAGGAAACGTTTCCTTCATTAACTTTAAAATGGAACTGACATTGTTTCAGATACAAATGGTTGTGTACTCTGGTTTTGGATAATGACAGTTGTGGCTTTTCAAACAGTTGCTGACTTTACTAGAAATTTGAAGAAATGTATAATGGTTGTAGGTTCCATTGCAACTTAGTCTTTAACGACACATAAAACTAATGACTACTTCTGTTTCAATGGCTATTTATCGGTTTAACTATTTAATCAGCTTAAAAAGATATCACTGGTGCTACAAATCTTAAACCTGGTGAGAAATTTTGGTTCAAAGTTTCCGTCAACAAAGTAAATATAATGCTTTCTAAAATGTACCAACTTTTTTTGTTCCTGGACTTGTGTGTGAGATTGTTTTAAGGGAGGTAATTCTATATGACAACTAGCGATCAACCGCCACAATCGACAGCTGTTGCTATGAGAAGTGATGATGTGAGACAGTCATAACATGACCTTATAGTACTGTTGAGAAAGACCACCTTCCTAAATTCTATGCAGATTGTTGAATGTTTTTCGATAAGGGTTGTTACAAAAAAGATATTGTTAATCGTAGCAGTGCATTGCCTAGCGATGCAGGTACCTGGCTAGCTATTCTCGAAACGTTCGTAGCCCTACGAACTTCTTAAGCCCATTCTTAACACATTGGCTACGATCAAAGTTAAGAATTCTTAGGGCTACGAACGCTTCGAAAATAAGGGCCCTTGCATGTCCTGATCCACATTTAAGCGTCAGTAATCAAAGTTTTCCTACCGATACAGGTACATATTAACTGTCGGTAGATACTACTCTTTCTGTTCAGATTTCAAATGCAGCCAAGTCGTAATGTTGTCACGATGCCCCGTGCTGCATAGACTATCAATATCCATTACACTGTTCCTCTCACGCTATCGCAGCTGAACGTGTTACAGGAGTCTAATGGGAAATATATCGGAAAAGTGAATTTTTTTTATTATTTCTTGTGAAATTATAGATCAGATTATCTGTCATCTTTGTAAACAAACGCCTTACGTTAACATATGTAACGACAGTTAGTGGTTTCTAAACAAATATCCCAGCTAGATATTGTTAAGGGAGGTAATTCTATTTGCCCGTTCGACATTGGCGCAAATTCAACCGCCACTGTCAACAGCTTTTGCCTGACTGCGGTTACACATCTGGACAGCCCACCTCCATAAATGCTATGGAGATTGCAACCGATTACCTTATAAGGGTTAGGTTAAATTAGGGGTTCCCTCACGCTGTCGCAAACTGAATCTGTGAACACAGAGCAAGCAAATACACTGTGAGTACACTTAAAACCTGGAAACAGGTCACTTATGACCATAAAAAAACTGCAGGAGCCTCAGTTGTTACTAAAAGCGTATTGCTCTTTGGGACATAGGGAAATCCGACGAGTGCGGGTGGGTGGTTTGGGGGTTGGTTGTTATTTTTTGCAGTTTTAACTGGCGCTTCCTTCAACTAGCATTATAGCTCAGTTACCCCCCTTAAGTTATGACCCGGAAGGAAAATAGGAGAATATTCTGCCTTGTATCAATGGGCTGTTCTGGACAAGAAATAGTTCCGTCTTTAGCAGGATGTAGCTCGCCTGTCCTTGGATGTACAGTCAAAACAATTAGTGTTCTGGAATCGCCAGGACCTCGGCTATCCGACACATACAATGTTTTTTAATAAATACTTTTCAGTTTTCACCTGGTAAGTTTGCTTTTGAAAAACCGTGAGGAAGTCTTTGAAAGATTTTGAAGAGAACTTTGGCCCGGAAGTAATACTCAATATCGAAGGCACATCCTGGCACTTTTTGTGCAGAATTTGCACAATGGTTACTGCACACCAGTTATGGAAAGTTTGGAATGTCTAAAGCTGATGGTTTGAGCTAGGCACAATTTGGGAGCAAACTACTCAGAAAACTGCTGAAAAACATGGCGAAAAACTGAAAACTAAAATAACTGCCGAACGTTACAATAATAATAATATTTCTTTTTGCTGCCCAACACCAGTCACTTCCCACTCGCAATCGCCTAAATGTGATTCTTAAAGAAAATATTAACATGAAATGTCGATTGAGCAATGAATTTACAGAGACTGTCTAACACCTTGTCAGTGGATGCCTTCCTTTGGCACAAACTGCATATCTTAAACGACATGATGGCATGGCTCGTTGTTTCTACTATCTTCTCAGCCATGCCTGTGGCTTTGACTCCGAGGTCCATCCATGGTACGACCCTGAACATGTCCAGGGCGTCATGGAAAATGACAGGTTTAAACTTCTTTGGAATAGGCCCATATACAGCCTGTGAAGAATTCCTGCCAACAAACCTGATCTTGTACTTTTTGATAAAGCCAATGAATTTATTTATATCATTGAATTTTCTGGTCCTTTTGACAGCAATGCGATTGGCAAAATTCAGGAAAAGCATGATAAGTATGCGGACCTCGCCTTTGAAATGTCTCGCTTGCATCCCAAGTACACTGTCGTCAGGCTGCCCATGGTTCTCTGTGCCCTTGGTTTGGTACCTCCTGATCTCTTGGTGCAAATCAGGAGAGTGACCGGGTTGTCCACAGGGAGCACAGCCCTTCTGACACTCTGGGTAATGCAGAAGGCTGCAGTGGTGGGGCGTCTACATAGTCTCCGGAAAGTTCTTGGTGGGTTCGCCTAGGCAGTGTTTCCTGGGAGAAGTACCATTCGCTGTCTGGGCTGCGTGTAGAGGGTGGCGAGGACCCTGAGCTGATGATGAGCCTTACCAGCCTGACTGTGCCAGTATCACCCGAACCCTCTCTGCTGCTCTCTTTCATCTTTTATCTGTAAAACATAATAATAATAATCCGAACGATTACATGTCTTCTGCCTACAGGCATGGAGCCCTAATGATACAACTTTCTTTTTTCCTCAGCTACGGGTAACCTACTAGAACGTCTTCTTTTCTCTCAAGGGAAGTGACGTCAGTGTAGCGGCTGCAAACATCCATCAACTTACGGGCATATGGGAGTTGTCTCCTTTCAGATTTTTCAATGATGAAAAGAGCCGTCTGTGGAAAATGTGAAATTACTTAAAACACCAACACACAGCGCATATTGTAACTGGCATAATAACAAACGTGATGCTTCGTATCTAGTGGGGTACATACAGCATACAATTCTAGACTGGGGATGTTAGAACACTGAAGCAGTCGGAGCGTAGAAACAAAGGGTTCACCAACGGCAGACAGATGGGTATACCTACAGCAGACAGATGGCTACAGACAGATGGGTACACATACAGCAGACAGATGGGTACACGTACAGCATCTGCGGTTGTACACAGTTACAATATGAATGGAGTGGTTGTACACAGTTACAATATGAATGGGGTGGCTGTACACAGATGCAATATGAATGGGGTGGCTGTACACAGATACAATATGAATGGGGTGGCTGTACACAGATGCAATATGAATGGGGTGGTTGTACACAGATGCAATATGAATGGAGTGGTTGTGTACAGATGCAATATGAATGGGGTGGCTGTACACAGATGCAATATGAATGGGGTGGCTGTACACAGATGCAATATGAATGGATTGGTTGTGTACAGATGCAATATGAATGGGGTGGCTTACACAGATGCAATATGAATGGGGTGGTTGAACACAGATGCAATACGGATGGGGTGGCTGTACACAGATGCAATATGAATGGGGTTGTTGTAAAGAGATGCAATATGAATGGGGTTGTTGTAAAGAGATGCAATATGGATGGGATGGTTGTACACAGATGCAATATGAATGGGGTGGTTGTACACAGATGCAATATGAATGGGGTGGTTGTACACAGATGCAATATGAATGGGGTTGTACTTAGATACAATATTGATTGGGTGGTTGTACAGAGATACAATATGAATAGGGTGGTTGTATACAGATGCAATATGAATGGGGTGGCTGTACACAGATACAATATGAATGGGGTGGTTGTACACAGATGCAATATGGATGGAGTGGTTGTACACAGATGCAATATGGATGGGGTGGTTGTACACAGATGCAATGTTGATGGAGTGGTTGTACACAAATGCGATATGAATGAGCATGGCTTTGATTTTGTAGTTTAAGACAAAACAGTGAAACAAGACCAAAGTGAGTATGATCATTTCACAATACCTGCACGTCAAAAACATTCTTCAGCATGACATCAAACTGACACTTGAGGGCGGCGCTGTCACAATTGCACGCATGAAATACCTAAAATGTATAGAAAGGTCCATCATTTGATAATGTGCTGTGAACTTCGAGGCAGATCATCAACTGGTTCAACACAATTTGAAACAGTCATTGTTCAAGTGTCAATTCCCCAACAGACTTTCTTATTTTGCAAAAACTTACGTCTGTACGCTTTTCCTGTTATACGAACTCGATTAATCGAGGTGCATAAGATTAGAAGACGTATAAGATCGACATTAGTCTGTAAATAAACATATTGGCTAACTTTTTAAGAGATACTGGTATTTGTTCGTCCTCCAATAAGATACATCTGAAATCGTCACCCCGAAGTGTAACTAGAAGGCTAATAAATTGACATGGCGGAAAATAGAGGCAGTCGTGAGAATGTATAAGATCTATTTTGAGTAAGCGTCCTATTCAAAACAGGGGCGGTGGGGTAGCCTAGTCGTTAAAGCGTCCGCTCGTCACGCCGAAGGCCCGGGTTCGATTCCCCACATCGGTACAATGTGTGAAGCCCATTTCTGGTGTTCCCCGCCGTGATCTTGCTGGAATATTGCTAAAAGCGGCGTAATACCATAGTCACTCACTCACACCTATCAGAAGTACTGATTACTGTCATCACCTGATATACATACCTTGATGATATCTCGATTTTCCAGAAACGACTTTAGTTGGCCTTCGGTAAAGACATTTGGCTCAACGAACACATTGAACAAATAGACAAAACCGTCTAGTTTGGCCACCTGCAGAAGAGTGAGAGGGCCCTTCTTTCCCAGATTGATTCCCTCGCTGTTCACAGCAACGACAGATTCCTGGAGGAGGTCATCGACCGCCTTGACGCAGTCATCGACGTTATCCACAACCTTGTGACGTACTCCATGTTCTGCCATCTACAACAACAAAGCAATAAATAGTCCGTATCCTTCCTTACATTGTCCATTTTTATCAGTGAGTTTACTGGAATACACACTATGTGACCGTTCATAATTTATGATCCTGCATGTCATGTACTAAATCGCTGAACCCTCCCCTAGTGCATGTGTACAAACTTGATGATGTCCTTTTCCCTATTCATACAGTGTGTGACACTGAGACATTGTTTCTGTGTGATTAATGCATCGAGAAGGCAGTGGGGTAGAGGAGTTGTTAAAGCGTTCGCTCATCACGCCAAAAATCCGGGTTCGAGTTTAACACGGTCTCTCAGTTATAACTTATATCACGGTGTTGGTTGATTGTGATAGCCGGAAGTGACGTAAGCTCACCACTGGCGTACAATATGTGAAGCCTATTTGAGGTATCCTGGCTGGAATGTTCTCAAAAGCGGCATTGAACCATGTTCAGTCACTCACCTTCGGTGTATCTACCTGCACGATCAGATCAAAGCGTCTACCAACACAACACACAGCAAACAGCCTTCTCAAGAACGCAAACCGAAAGCTGAAATAAAGAAAGGCGAGTGTTAAGATTGCAGCATGGTGATGATGGTCGGGATCTTCCCATCCACCCAGCCCTATTATATGGAGTTAATTAATTAGTCGAGCGTCATATTCCCCTCAAACAACAGGTGTTGTGTCAAACTAGATATCCATGAACTAGGGACAAATCGTATTGTTAATACAATTCATGTCGTTAAATAAATGTAAGATTTTAATCTTAAAAGGATATACATAATGTACATATATAATTTCATATAATCACACATTATGGATATAATTTCACAGGTAACTGACTACCCCTACACCGTGCCTGGCCAAGCTAATCCTAATCACAAGAAAAGGTCATCCAAGAGCTCCGCAACGATAAGACCATCACCATCACCGAAGCAGACAGCAGACACGGAGCAGGCACCAGTTATCATGAACGCTCCCATAGGCGCAGGGGTGCGCACACACCACTCTCCCACAACCCCCTCCCCCCATCCTTTTGTCCTGAAAGTTTATTTAATGACCATTGAAACTCTGGTGAAAGCGAACTGTGCACCCCCTTTCTGAACTGTGCACCGCCTTTCTGAACTGTGCACCGCCTTTCTCAACTGTGCACCTCCCTTTCTGAACTGTGCACCCCTTTCTGAACTGTGCACCTTCCTTTCTCAATTGTGCACCTCCCTTTCTCAACTGTGCACCTCCCTTTCTGAACTGTGCACCCCTTTCTGAACTGTGCACCTGCCTTTCTCAACTGTGCACCTCCCTTTCTCAACTGTGCACCCCCCTTTCTCAACTGTGCACCCCCCTTTCTCAACTGTGCACCCCTTTCTCAACTGTGCACACCCACACCCACCCCACCCCTTCTCAAAAAGCTGTATCCGCCCCTGCACTCCTGAATTTCACGACCTTGTGACTAACCAAAACATGAGTCTTATTAACCTATTCAGACAATGACCTACTTTTCAGCTGATCCGAATTTTTTCGTCTGAAAGTGACATGAGACGCCACAAACAACTATGGTTACACTGAATTCCAATTTGTCGTTTTATAAAAACATGGTATTTACATGTTAGTGTTAATTTTAAACTTTGATAACATCGTATTTCTATATTTTATGGAGATGTGTAGGCAGCATGGCAGCAACTAAGACACAACAGACTGCCCTTGTTTGATGAGGTTGTAAAATGATTCACAAATTATCTGGCTCACTGGTTACAACTGTTATAGTTTCGTAACGTACACTGTGATTGATACTATATCAAGTCCGTACCGGACCGCCAAACATTTCTAGTGGCAGAGTCGCGTTTTGAGATTTCCAACATCTCCGTTTGTCAGTGCTCGCTGTAGGACAGAGCAATCTGCAGGACGTGTTTGCAAGGATTATAAAGAGCGTAGTGTTGCAATATACAAGTGCTTAGATGTATCAAATAATACTGATTAATATTTATGTATCCAGTTGAATGAATTGGTATCAAAATTCTGGACTAGTTGTTGTACTAATATGCGCACTAGGACGGAACCCAGTCAGCAGGAAACGAGACTGTTATGTAATCAATGTTTTGACTTGCAAGACCCTTAGCGACACCTCGACTTACAAGATCATACCCAAGGATCCAAGAGCAAAGTTAGAACTCTAGATCTCCATGACAGCGACCAAATCAATGACACTGTCTTCAATAAGTTAAACCCAATCAATTGCCAATCTCCTTATGCCCGTGCCACTGTGAAAATTCACAAAAAGCCTGTGAAAACTACCATTCTTGTGTGCTCACGAGGGTCAGTTCACTACAAGACTGCTCGGTTTCTTTCTAAACTGCTTGCCCCTTTGGGGAAAGAAGGTAAATCTTTCCTCAGCGACTCAGCATCGTCTGTGAAGAAACTGTTGGACTCAGGCCGAATGGTCAGCTATGATGTTGTTGATCTATTTACTATAATTCTGTTATATGAATCTCTTGAAATCCTCCATGCAAGATTAGACAGTTGTAGTGACACGCTTAGAAAGTATAATGTAGACCATGTAGACTAAAGATCAACACAAACTGCCCTTCCTTGATGTGTCACTCGACATCACGTGATCGTCAAGGGCAGACGTCACTCACAACAACAGAGAGAAAAACGCTTCAAATGTCTTCAAAGTGATTTATTGAGACAATACGACCGGTTACAATTATAAGTGTTTTGTGCATGTTATGCTTAAACATGGGTGTCTCAACTGAAGTTTGGAAACTTAAAATCTGCGAATTGTGTTGTTGTCAATTAGTCTGCTAATAGTATCGGGCGACATAGAATTGAACCCAGGGCCCCGTTACCCACCTCCACCTGATAAAGTACAGACGCGACTCTCAACCAAGACTCAAATCCGTCGGTCATGGCTGATCGCGCTTTAACGCTGAAAGCTATACAGGGTCAAATTACCTCCCTTAGCAATAAACTCGATGTGTTTACAAGCGAATATGATGACAAAATAACAACTTTAAAAGATGAAAATAGTGAACTCAAGAAAAGGATTTCGTATTTAGAAGTCAAAACGAACAAAATTGAGTCGCAATCCAAGCGAAATAATCTTTTGTTTCATGGGATTCCTGACTCACGAGGTGAAACTTGGGATGAAAGTGAATCCAGAGTGAGAACGTTTATTAAAGACAAACTTAAGATAACTCAGAAGAGAGGGAAGGTCGCGGGTTCAATCCCTGACCGCGTCATACCAAAAGACGTTAAAATATGGTACTTGTTGGTCCCTGCCTGGCGCTCGGCATTATTGGGTACAACAAGGACTGGTCGGCTCGGAGTCAGTATACTGTGTCTGAGTGGGGTATTCATGCTTCACTGCGGCATGGTATCTCAGTGGGCTAGCACTATAAAACCAGCTTCAGTCTGGGCTAGTACAAGCAGCCGCACATACACATACACATGCATGCACGTCGTCATATGAGCGAAATATTCTCAAGCACGACGTTAAACCCAATTTCACCTCACCTCAGCTATAATTGTGAAATTTGCCAGCTATAAGGACAAATCAACCATTCATCGAGGTCAACACGACATAGGGCGGGCCATTCTCTTCCCACAGAGGTAACTCCTGTCATATCTTGCTACGTAACCTCTGTTCTAATACGACCCTTTCATGGTGTGAGCGTTCAAGACTCGTGATTGGAGGCAATCAGATTTAGTTGTGCAATCAGAGACGTTGTTTCAAAAGTGATCATTCGCAAGGCCTCGGTAATTTCCATATACTTCGAGAAAACTAAGCCTCTTCCCCTGAGCGATGCGCAACTTTTCTTCTAGACAGAACTCAGTCATGTTATGGCGGATCAGTGGCGTCTCCATCGCCCTCGTTGACAACGGACAAGCTAGCCATTAAACGTCTTGTGTGTAACATCAACACAAGTCCCCGGCAGATGGGGGATATTTGTGGCCTCACATTTGCTTGTGTTGGTCAAGTTGAATCTAAGTCGATGTAACACGTGTTCTGATTGGATAGAAAGAAGGGAGATAATTCGTGTTGCGATGTTTTGCCGCTAGGGGATTTTACAAGAACCGGGAAATATGACCGTATTAGAACAGAGGTTCGTACGAAGATATGACAAGTAACCTCTGTGGGAAGAGAATGAGGGCTGGCACGTAATCAGGAAAGTGCTAGTTCGCGGTCATAGTGACCAGGAAGTTAACTACCGTACGTCACAATGTTGCCACCCAAGCAAAATATGTAACACTTACCTTGTCGAGTGATTCACATTAAACTGTTTCATCGAGGTCAACACGACATAGGGCGGGCACGTGATCAGGAAAGTGCTAGTTCGCGGTCATAGTGACCAGGAAGTTAACTTGGGATTCAAAAGTAGTATATACAATGGCGGCGAGATCTAAAGGGCCTGACAAAAGCTTTATTAATGAAATAAAGCTTTACAGCGACCTTTCTTGAAAGTGATCTCGTACCCCCAGTGTATCTACTACTCCGGGTCCAATTCCCCTCATGGGTACAATTGATGAAGCTCATTTTTGGTGTCTAGTGCTGGATTATTACAAAACGCAGCATAAAACCATACTCACTCACTCACTTTCCTAGTACTTAACCTTGACATTACGGGATGATGGAGTAAAATATGATGTTAAGTACCTTAGTCGAAAACATTTCGACAGTGTTTTCAGTATGATGCCGCCAACTCCCGTTAGACGAAAAGGTTGAACCCAAATGCTTATGAAAATCAACTGTTTTTATATTGCAGCAATCAAAATTCAAATCCATCTTTCAAAGAAAATAATAGAGCTCCAGTTTTCTTTCTTTTTTTCATTTGGACTATTCCATTATAATGTGTAGGTGACAGGTAGTAGCTAATCTGTTCATTGAACCGTAAATTTTGTTTTAAGGCGTCTGCGAACTGCCTGTCTGCGTAATGGGAGGACACCAGCGTCAAGGCATTCCTCTATAAATTAAAACTTACCTTAACTCAGAGCCAGTTAACCCACGTCTTTGACGAAGCTTTCACCACAGCGACTATACTCATCGATCGAAATAAACATTATTTAAACACTGCGAACAACACTTACGTCATTATTGAGGAATCGAAACAGAAAGCGAATTCTACGAAACTTGTTATCAGAAGTGTAAATGAGTGATATATATCTTACATATGGACACACAAAAATGTCAAATATTAGTGTGCGTACCGGTGGATAGATAAAATAACTGAGGTATATTGAGAGGTTCTATTTTAGCACATGAACTTAGCAACTTGCAGTCTGTCTTATCGTTGTCATATCACAGATCAAATATTAATAGCAAACACGTAAACTAACACTTCAACTTTTTACAGTTAATGGAAAATGGCAAATACCCAATTGAGTTGGGTACATATTTATTTGGTTACTCAAAGGCAAATTAGGATACCCAATTGAGTGAGTGAGTTTAGTTTTACGCCACACTCAGCAATATTCCAGCTATATGGCGGCGGTCTGTAAATAATCGAGTCTGGATCAGATAATCTAGTGATCAACAGCATGAGCTTCGATCTGATCAATTGGGAACCGATGACATGTGTCAACCAAGTCAGCGAGCCTGACCACCCGATCCCGTTAGTGGCCTCTTACATGGGTTACCGAAGATCAATATTCTAAGTTTCTAACCCGAACCTTCACGGTTACCCAATCTGTAGCGGTCATCTGTAGCTCCGATACAGTATCGTGTACAATGTGGTTAGTATCTGTATGTACAATATTTGTTTTGTAAATATATGTGTGTCATTTGCCGCTCTACCGCACTCGTGATGGGTAAAACTATATTTCTCTCGGCTAACAATAAGGTTTGGGTAAATTGTTTGACAACGCTTTTCGCAATATTCACGCAATATCACGGAAGGAATTTTAAACATTGCATCAATGAAAGGTAAGTTTGTTCGTAAAATTGTTCAAAGACCGCGTGGAAGATTTTGAAAATTGCAGTGGAACGTGCGAACGCTAGTTGAAGGATACATACTGTGAGTGAGTTTAGTTTTACGCTGCTTTCAGCAATATTCCAGCAATATCACGGCGGAGGACATTATAGCCATGTGGGGAATCGAAGCCGGGAATTCGGCGTGACGAGCGAACACTTTAACCACAAGGCTACCCCACCCTACCAATTTGTTTTCGATGTATATATCTATGTCCACATAATCATAATACCGGATAAAGAATTCTAAAGCAACGAAGGGCAAGTCTGTTTCTTTCATCAAATACTTTTTGAAGTCCCTGTGGGTTTGTGGGGACAATGAAGTGTACATGTCATGTGTTTTTGCATAACGAACGACCGATATCAAGAAATTGCATTAATGAAAGGAAAGTTTGTAAGTACAATTGATCAAAGACCATGTGGAAAATTGTGAAAATTGCGCAGGAACATTCGAACGATATGGTGAGTTTAGCTTTATGCCGCTTTTATCAATATTCCAGCAATATGATGGCGGGGGACACCAGAAAAGGGTTTCACACATTGTACCCATGTGGGGAATCGAACAATGAGCGAACGCTTTAACCACTAGGCTACCCCACCGCCTCAAACTGGCAGGTGGAACCGTGGAAGGAACCAACAGAAAGGTATTCCGATTGCATGTAGGCGCTGCGTTTCACACAGGTTGGTGTGCATGACATACGATTTCTAATAACGAAAGAACATAAGGGAGACACGGAACCATGCAAGGAATGCAGTACACAGAATGATCAAAGACTTCAGACGGTTGGTCCAGTGAATAGAAACCCAGGTAAGTTCCCACGTGAAAGACGGCTATCCTGAATTAGTTTTTTTCAGAAGAATGCTTTTGTCTTCAAAACATTATTTCATAGCTCTTTGGAGGCCGTGGTTTTGCTTTGAAGAAAACGTAGAACTATGTTTTGAGGGACCGTATCAAAAGGATTTTTGTCGTATTTCTGAAGATATTGATATTTATGTGGCGGCAAAAGATCTACACAACTACAGAACACCTGCTCAAAAGAAGTTAAGAGTCTGATGTCGGGGAGGTTGAACCGTGGTCATGTAAACAAATCGGATAATCTTTGTTTTGAGTAGTAAACTTCCGGATAATACATTTTTAAATTGGTGTTTCCATCCCTTCAAGCGAAAGTTGTGATGAAACCGGTACTAGATTAAAACGCCCTTACTCGGACCGTAGTCGTAGGTTCGAATCCCAGATGGTACGCTCCCATTAACTACATACCCATAAACAGCACGGGGTATGAAGGAATGCACATCTAGTCTGCTTCTTACCTGGGAGGTTAGAATGGAATTAAGCTTCTTAACCGTACTTGTGGAAAGTAGCATCTATCAGAAAAAATGTAATTATATACAGATACGTCCGTTTTCAAATGACCATTTAATTTCTTTTACATTTTTGTAATTTTAACAGCTTCAACTTCAACATAGTTCACCTGTTCAGATTAATTAACACTTAGCCGCATTTCCTTAAAGATCAGGAGACGTCAAAGGCCATCCGGTACGTCAGCCCCAAAAGGCCACCCGGTACGTTAGCCCAAAAATGGCCACCCGGTACGTTAGTCAAAAAAGGCCACCCGGTACGTTATCCAAAAAAGGCCACCCGGTACGTTAGCCCCAAAAAGGCCACCCGGTACGTCAGCCCAAAAAAGGTCACCCGGTACCTTAGGCAAAAAAGGCCACCCGGTACGTTTGCCAAAATAGGCTACCCGGTACGTTAGCTAAAGCGAGTCAGGCGCTGCAAGATGAGTGGGCAAGAGATTCTTCATTTGGTCCAATAGTCACTGAAGGTTTTACTACATCGTAAAACAAATGTTTGACCAACCAAGTCAGCTTGGGCGTTCATCTTTTGACTTCACGTTCGGTGGGGTAGCCAAGGTGTTAGAGGGTTCGCTCGTCATGCCCGAGTTCGATTCTCCACATGGGTACAATGTGTGAAGCCCATTTCTGGTGTCCCCCGCGGTAATATTGCAGGGATATTGCTAAAAGCGGCGTAAAGCCTAACTCCCTCACTCACTCGCATCTGACATCACATACCTTTTTTGTTTCACTGTTAATTGCACCTTTGCAAAACACACCCAACATGTAACGTGGATTGTCCTTTTCTCCTTCGTTCCTGTCATACATCTATTACCACGCTTCATCTTTGTTATTTCTGTAATCCTCTGCAATACTCGAACACGCCGTGAAGATCCGGGTTAGAATTCATCTTCAGCAACCCTTGCTTTTTGTCAAAGGCAACTAAGGGGTGGTCAGGTTCGCTGACTTGGTTGACACATCATCGTATCCCAATGGCGTAGATCGATGCTCATGCTGTTGATCACTGGATTGTTTGGATTACTTACAGACCGCAGCCATATAGCTGGAATATTGCCGAGTGCGGTGTTAAACAACAAATACAACGAAAATCGAACACCCCTTAACTTTGTTTGGAGTGATTTTTCTGAACAGAGCGCGGGAATATTTCCAAACACATCATGTGAGGTCTACGATAATTCTGTATTATTTTCAAATTAAACCAAATTGAAAAAGAAAGTTAAAAAAAACGAATTAAGAAAATGGACTGATTGACTGACTGAGTTTGATTTTACGCCGCTTTTAGCAATATTCCAGCAACATCACGGCGGGGGACACCAGAAATGGGCTCGATTCAATGTACCCATGTGGGGATTCGAACCCGGGTCTTCGGCGTGACGAGCGAACGCTTTAACCACTAGGCTACCCCACCGCCCTAAGAAAATGGAAGTTACGATAGGTGAAATATTAAATAACAGTCTAACATTAGGAAATTTGATGTCAAATGTTAAATAGTAGTAATATTTTTGACTTGCTCTATCCCATTTCGGTATATTTTTTATCTCCTGCATGTCACGTGGTATCAAAGACGACTGCCTCCAACCGTATAAAACTCCACAGATTACGTCATCCTTTCAGAGACTGTCAATATTCAACATGGGCTGTCTTCCCTGCTTGTTGCTGTTATGCACGGCGTCAGTGGTCCTCGTCCAAGGTATGTTGTAGTTGACGTATAAATCGATGGTATTCAAGATACAAGTTATCAAAATTATCATCACATTTTCAATGATTCGAATCGGATCAATGAATTTGATCATGTTGAAAAGATTCACCTTATCTTTATTTTTCATAGATAGAGCCACTTGGCAAAGCTATCTCAAGTTGATTGGTTATCTGGGATTTTGGATTTGACAGTGACTTGTTAAAGGTTGGGTGCCTGTTTCGACTCCCATTTTCTTTGATAATGCATACTTTTTTTCTATTTGAATAGTCCCTGAGTGAGTGAGTGAGCTGAACGTCGTAGTTTAGAAGAGGTGTTCAGTTGCTATATGTCATGCGGGTCTTAGACATTTATCGTTACAGTGAAACCACGAGAGTTTAGTTTTACACCGCTTTTAGCAATATTCCAGCAATATCACGACTGGGCACACCAGAAATGGGCTTCACGAATTGTACCCTTGTGGGGAATCGAATCCGGGTCTTCGGCGTGACGAGCGAACGCTTTAACCACTAGGCTACCCCACCGCCCTGCTTGTCGAAAGAGACAAGGAATAGGTCGAGTGGTCTGACGAATTCGCAGTATGTCGTCAGACTGTATTGCATTGTTTATCAAGTACATAGATCTAATATGTGAAGGCAGAATCGACGAGGGGAGTGAGTTGGGTTTAACGCCACTCTTAAAATATTCCGACCCATTTAGATCCGGGTTTGAATTGGTCTTCAGTAACCCATGCTTGTCGTAAGAGGCTGCTAACGGGATCAGGTGGTCAGGCTCACTGGCTTGGTTGACACATGTCATCGGTTCCCAATTGCGTTGATCGATGCCCATAATGTGGATCAATGGAGTGTATGGCCCAGGGTTGATTAATTACAGACGTATAGTTTGAATATTGCTGAGTGTTTGGTGTGCTGAACGGTTCGTCCGGCCATCTTGAGAAGTTAGAACCATCAGAAAGTCACAATTTGCACAATCTTCCACATGGTCTTTGATCAATTGTACTTACAAACTTTCCTTTCACTGATGCAGTGTTTTTAATATCAATCGTTCGTTATGTAAAACACATGACATGTACACCCCATTGTGCCAACAAACCCACAGGGACTTCAACCATCATTTTATGAAAGAAACACGTGCCCTTCGTGTGGACTGAGTTGCATTAGAATTCTTTATCTGGCATTTTGATTCCGGCAGTTTAATTGTGTGGACAGATATATACATCGAAAACAATTTGGTGGGGTGGGGTAGCCTTGTGGTTAAAGCGTTCGCTCGTCACGCCGAAGACCCGGGTTCGACTCCCCACATGGGTACAATGTGTGAAGACTATTTCTAGTGTCCCCCGCCGTGATGTTGCTGGAATATTGCTAAAAGCGGCGTATAACCATTCTATGGAGATAAAATAGTGTTGTATCGGTGTAAAATATACTATTGTAATGAGATCGAAAATCCCACTATTCGGTAACCGAATCAGTCTCACTCCTGTGTACTCAGGTCAAGGGATAGCACGACAGCATGAGATGCTGATGCAGGAACTGAAGAAGATGGAGGAGAAGATGGACAACGTCACTGACATAGGTAGGACCGTGACTTGTAGACGCACACGTACACACGCACGCACACGTGTGACGCACTCAGTTAACAGATGTGTATGTCAATGTGCTATAGGATTAAAAATGTCAGCGTCAGATAAGTCTTTACAAAACACTATACGTCATACATGTGTTTAGTTGATAAGTCATTGAGTAAGACCCCTTCAGCGAACACCTGGTGTCTGGACACATATTTCAGCATAATTATCAATCAAATCTGTTTTGGTTGTGAAGCTAGGCGAGATATCAAATCTCATTCAGATCTGTTTTGACTGACAGGCGAGACAAAGTAGCAAATCTCAGTCAAATTTGTTTCGGCTGACAAGAGAAACAAGGTAATCTCCGGTGTTGACGTTTAATGTTAAAGCGAACCACGAACTAAACTTCGAGGTTTCATTTAAGAAAACCAACTTTTAAAAAATGCTATATATAATTTCTGGTGAATTTACAGTGAAAGGTTTTAAGTCAGCGCTGAAACAAACCGACGAAGGGAAACCAGGAAAACCGACGGAGAAGCAAGACGAAGAAGAGGAAGAGGATTATGATGAAGATGAGGATTATGATGAAGATGAGGATTATGATGAAGATGAGGATTATGATGAAGAAGAGGAAGAAGAAGAAGATCCGGACATTCCGACAGCATCGAATGAATGGGGAGCAAACAATCCTGGCGTCATTGCACAAGCTGAACAAAAACGAAAGCAAGAAGAAGCGAAGAAGAAAGCAGAGCAATTCTTGAACAATTTATTATTTCCAACCTCGAACCAAAATGGCTCCAGACGTCCGTTATTCGGATAGTCAAAGGATGATAAGAATAAACCCCGAACCAATCAGGTAATAATGGTGAGTTTTTTCTCTTCTCAGTTGTTGCCCTTGCAAAATGGTATGGTGTGGCATACATTAACATTAACTTGCGACTATCTTAGCGCTAAGAGAGCTTCGAAAATCGAGGCCACTGGGCTCCGTTCCTCAAAGCGATCCTAGCGCTAAGATGATCGTAACTCCCATACTTTAACATACGACTGTCGCGCTACGATCGCTTAGAGGAACGGGGCATAGGAGTCTATCATTGTGAGTTCGATGTCGGTTAGGCCTTATTATGTTGCCTAATCTTACCTTCATGTAAAATACTATAATTTCATTGGTCAATGACGCTTTACCAAGTTCCTGTGTCTCCAATCCCAGGAGGTCGACAACTGGACACATTATTACCCGCTGCCACGGTAACCGCCAAACTCTCCGCCGAGAAGCTGTATCGCTAACAATCGTATGACGTAACAATATGACGCATGCAGAGCACGGAGTTCGAAAACCGTTAGATTGGCTGTTTTTTTAATCGTTTGCACACTCAACTTAAACAAAACTGATCATTTTTATAGCAGTTTGAAGCTTTTCAGAATGTTTCACTGATCTTAAAAATCCAGTCGAGAGGCAGACGCCATTTTGTTTACATGTCATATAGTCGGTCGCGATCTTCAAAATAGAATAAAATGACATTTTGTACATTAACATGGCGGTAAGATAAATACGTTGTATGTTTCTCCCTCGAATAATACGGTCTGATGTACACCTTTTTAGGAGCAGTGTCACCCGAGCCGTTAGGCGGTAGGCGAGGGATGACACTGCTACAAAAAGCACGGGTTGTACGAATGACCTTGACCTTAGATGTGGCTGCCAAACGGCTGATCGCTTCGAAATATTAGTGTTGGCGTATACCATTAATTTAATAATTTCTTATTTGTTTGTGTCAATAAATATATCCAAAAGATAAAATGTTTCTGTATTTCACTTGTCGTGTAACAAAATATCAAATTAGATAATTTTTATCATAAACTAAGCCATCCCGAGTTATCTCCCTTTATGACCGTTCAGGAAAGATCATGGCGAAACGTTTTGCATCTCATTATGCCGAAGACTGAATGCTGCTTTTTAAAGATAAGTTAAATAAAGAGATCTTAATGCTAATAAATTTGTCACACGGCGTTTTGAAAGGGTGTACGGGACTGTAAGACTTCAAAACACCGTACAACTAATAGTATTACCCTCGAGGGAAGCATATGACATATTGTTTGTCAGCACCGTGCCAATGGAGTTTACAAAAAGCGGTAAACGTTTGAGACCTGCGTCACTTCGGGTGTTCCTCCCACAAAGAGCAGACCCGTCGTCAAATATCTGGAATACAGTTCAAAGCGGCATGAAACCCAACTCACTCATTCACTGTTTAACAGTGTATGCATCATACACACATTTCATCCTCATACTCCATGCGTTTTTCATACTGAGACTATTTTTCCATACTTTCAGAAACTACAGGACATGTCCAGAGAAACACCTTCTGTAAGGACAATAAACAAATAATGCCAATAGTATACAGCGTTCTCTTGTTATTTTGCTTGTTTCTTCGTTTGTTTATTGTTCAAAGCCGGAATCAGCAATATTCCACCATAATGATGGCAGTCTGTAAATAATCGAGTCTGGTCCAGACAATCCAGTGATCAACAGCAAGAACATCAATCTACGCAATTGGGAACCCATGACATGTGTCAACCGAGTCAGCGAGCCTGACCGACCGATCCCGTTAGTCGACTGTTATGACAAGCATGGGTTACTGAAGGTCAATTTTAATCCGGATCTTAACAGGGCTTTTTTTTAGTGAGTTTAGTATTACGCCGCACTCAGCAATATTCCAGCTATATGGCGGAGATTTTAACGGGTTTATGATGAATGACACATTGATAAATGAACATGTATTGATTCGAAATGTGCTGTACAAGCTGTGTGTAAATATTATCTCTGTCAGATAGCTTTTGAGCTCGTAATCATAAGCTTTCACTCTAAACGCCTGGTGGTTAAAGCGTTCGCTCGTCACACCGATGACCCGGGTTCGATTCCCCACATGGGTACAATGTGTGAAGCCCAATTCTGGTGTCACCCGCCCTGATATTTCTGGAATATTGCTAAAAGCGACGTAAAACTAAACTCACTCACAGTATCTATCCTTCAACTAGCATTCGCATGTTCGAACGCAATTTCCACAATCTTCCACAATCTTTAAGTAAACAAACTTTCCTTTACCAACACACTCTAAAATGTGAAAAATATCCTATTAATCTCTCCAAAACTGCTGTTCACTCGAGCAATCATGCGCGCAACTTCTTTACGATTTTCAGTTTGGTCGGACTTGGCTTTGTGCGGAGTATTTGATCAACTGTTACAGTACGACACTGGAAGTACAAACACAGCGTCAGGTGAATATACTTATGTACTTCCTGCCCTCTTGTTTGAGTGAGTGAGTTTAGTTTTACACCTCTTTTAGCGATATTCAATCAATATCACAGCGGAGGACAACAGAAATAGGCTTCGCGCATTGTTCCCATATGGGGAATCAAACCCGGGTCTTCGGCGTGACGAGCAAACGCTTTTACCACTGGGCTACCCCACGCCGGTGCTGATCTTAAATGGATTCAAGCAGTTTGTTTTACAATTCGAGTATGTGAAAGCAGAATCGAAAAGGAGTCAGTGGGTTTAACGCCGCTTTTAAACCTATTCCAGTAATATCACGTGTGTTGACTAAAGGCCAAAATGATGCCCTTTACAGACCACACTCTGTACCACTTTGGTGAAACCCACTAGCACAGGTTTAGTGGTGACAAACAATGAGACAACATCGGGTTGAACCCGGGATTCGAACCCGGAATCATATCTGGCTTGCCAAAGGGACGCAACTGTTCACTGGGAATTGCGGCGCCTTAGATCGTTGGGAATGGAATGGATGTTGGAATTGTTCACTTTCCGATATCTCCATAGTGGAACGACTTCTACGAGTTATCACTTCAACACATGATACGACCTGTCTTTACTACATATGTACCACTTCAACGCGTGATACTACTAGTAGCACTTCAACACATGATACTACCTGTATACCACTTCAACACATAATACTACCTGTATACCATTTCAACACGTGATACTACTGGTACCACTTCAACACGTCATACTACTTGTATACCACTTCAACACGTGATACTACCTGTATACCACTTCAACACGTGATACTACTTGTACCACTTCAACACGTGATACTACTTGTACCACTTCAACACGTGATACTACCTGTATACCACTTCAACACGTGATACTACTTGTACCACTTCAACACGTGATACTACCTGTATACCACATCAACACGTGATACTTCCTGTACCACTTCAACACGTGATACTACCTGTATACCACTTCAATACGTGATACTACTTCTACCACTTCAACACGTGATACTACCTGTATACCACATCAACACGGGATACTACCTGTCTACCACTTCAAAACATGATACTACCTGTGTATCACTTTCAAACGCTATACTTCCACTTAACACGCTTAACACCACTTCAACACATGGTACTACATGACCGCCTCCGTGGTGTAATGGTTAGAGCGTCCGCCCGGAGTGCGGAAGGTCGCGGGTTCGATCCCCGACCGCGTCATACCAAAAGACGTTAAAATATGGTACTTGTTGGTCTCTGCCTGGCGCTCGGCATTAATGGGTACATCAAGGACTGGTCGGCTCGGAGTCAGTATAATGTGTCTGAGTGGGGTATTCATGCTTCACTGCGGCATGGTATCTCAGTGGGCTAGCACTATAAAACCAGCTTAAGTCTGGGCTAGTACAAGCAGCCGCACATACACATACACACGCATGCACGTCGTCATATGAGCGAAATATTCTCAAGCACGACGTTAAACCCAATTCCACCACCACCACCACCATGGTACTACATGCCTACTACTTCAATACGTTATGCTACATTTCTACCACTTCAATACTTGATGCTACATGTCTACCACTCCAATACGTGATACTACATGTCTACCACTTCAATACGTGATACTACATGCCTAACACTTCAATACTATACCTGTCTGCCACTTCAATACGTGATACTACATGTCTACTACTTCAATACGTGATGCTACATGTGTACCACTTCAATACGTGATACTACACGTCTACCTCTTCAATACGTGATGTTACATGTCTACCACTTCAATACGTGATACTACATGTCTACCACTTCAATACGTGATGCTACATGTCTACCACTTCAATACGTGATGCTACATGTCTACCACTTCAATACGTGATGCTACATGTCTACCACTTCAATACGTGATACTACATGTCTACAACTTCAATACGTGATGCTACATGTCTACCACTTCAATACGTGATACTACATGTCTACAACTTCAATACGTGATACTACATGTCTACCACTTCAATACGTGATGCTATATGTCTACCACTTCAATACGTGATACTACATGTCTACCACTTCAATACTATACCTGTCTACCACTTCAATACATGACACTACATGTCTACCACTTCAATACGTGATACTACATGCCTACCACTTCAATACGTGATGCTACATGTCTACCACTTCAATACGTGATACTACATGTCTACAACTTCAATACGTGACACTACATGTCTACCACTTCAATACGGGGAGGTAATCTGAACATCGTCGTGACGTCAGGAAATTATTATGTATACAAATGTACGTCATCGCAGTTTCTTAAATGATCAAAGGCGCCGACTGTACTGTATCCAGTGATACATTACACGTCACCGTCACCGGCTTAATACGTGAAACTGTACTTTATTACACAACAAGGGACTGTTGGCGCCGGTTTAGAATTAATCTTCAGTAACCCATGCTTGTCGTAAGAGGCGACTAACGGGATTGGGTGGTCAGGCTGAGGCTGGCTGACTTGGTTGACACATGTCATCGTATCCTAATTGTGTAGATTGATGCTCATGATGCTGATCACTGGATTGTCTGGACCAGGGACCCGTGAAGGTCCGGGTTAGAATATTGGCCATCAGTAACCCATGCTTGTTGTAAGAGGCGACTAACGGGATCGGGTGGTCAGGCTCGCTGACTTGGTTGACACATGTCATCGGTTCCGAATTGCGCAGATCTATGCTCATGCTGTTGATCACTGGATTGTCTGGCCGACTGAGCTGGAATATTGCTGAAACAACAACTTAACAAATAACAAAGTCTGCCAAATGTCTGCAACATCAGAGAATACTGATGCCACACCAAAACAAATGTCTTGAAAACCCAGAACTCTTTAATATTTGGCTTCATCCACCATCGCGAAATTCAAGCATTTATTTCGTATAATATTGGGGCCGTTTTTATTGTCACTCGACATGCAATATGTGTTTTATGTCGTTGGTCTTAATATCGGTTTGTCACATAAAACCTTGGCAAACAAAACCAACACAATAATCACATTAATCACGAATCTTTTTTCATGTTATCGGATAAAAAGTGAATTTTTCAATGGTTGGTAAACAATAGCTATGGACATCAAAGCTTTTTGTCTTTCCGAAAACAAAGGAATAACGAAGGCGTGAGATTACCTGGGTATACATATAAGGTATGCGTTCCATAGCACCACGCAGAAGGCTTGGCATCATAACACTATGAAGGTCCTGGCGGCAGTGTTATTGGTAATGGTTTCGTCTACCATGGTGGAATCCATGTGGAATATGTTAAACTCAGGTAAGATGTTTCAAAGAGTCTTTGATATTTAAGTTAAAATAAAGAAAACTTTTAACTATATATTTAAGAATGTTACCATGGTTTCGGGAGGAATAAAACATAAGGAAACTATGGAAAATACGGTGCTTCCTGGGTGTGATCTGGTAATCTCACTCCCCGAATCGATCATCTATATAGAACTCACCCAATCTATCACGTGACTTGGTCTTTTTCGGTTACTGACTTTCTTTGACTATTACTATGTCATCACCACTGCAAATTGAAGTCAATTACCGTATGTGTATGATCTGCTCTTGCCGGCATTCCACGGTACCAGTTTGATAAACTGGGGATCCGCTCTGGCCGGCATTTCACGGAACCAGTTTCATATACTTGGGATCCGCTCAAGCCGGCATTCCACGGGACAAGGTTGATGTACTGAGTGTTCACTCTGCCAGAAACCAATGGCAACGAGTTTGCTGAACAAACGATTCACTATTTGCATAAGTTCCAGTTGAAACTGGATAAAACCCTGTCGACCAATTGTGCTCATCCTTTTATCATAAACCATTTTTAAAGCGGCAAAGGGTATTCTCTGCATCAAAGAAAAGTACTAGGCCATCCGTAGAATATCCAATGTGTCCTTTATCATTGAAACTAGCATCTCTAATCAATTACTATTAAATCACCTTTCAGGGTCGTATTCACAGTCATCGTCACGGTCAAGCTCACCGATGAGGCCACCGTCACGGCCAAGGTCATCGTCAAGGTCATCGTCAAGGTCACATCATGGACCCAAAATATCGATAGTCATGAAGGCGCTAACGAACATCCAAGAAAAGATGAGCAATGATTGTAAGCACAAACTTAAAATCAATATTGGGATCTTTTTGCGCTGTGATTTAATTTTCATAATTTTGATCAGAACGATAATTTATGCCCAAACGCATCTGTATTCCAAAATGCTTTTCAGAGACTCTTCATACTCACGTCCATTTGGGTGTGATGATACGTCATGTAATGATGTTGAGAATCAGGGTACACTTGCACAAAGCGATCTTAGCGCAAAACGTAAAACCCCGCAATATGTAAAATATTAACGCAGTATATAAAAGATGTCTTCAACGCCAAAAGTACAATACCTAACGCAAAATGTAAAACAATTTTAACTTAATATGTAAAAATTAACGCAATATGTAAAATCCAATTTTAGGTTTGAATATTAGACGTGGCAATCGAAATCCATTTTTTTCACAAATTGGGCAAAATTGACTTTATTTACAAAACTAAGATATCGCAATATTTCTTACAAAATAAACTTCATATTACATTTTTTAACAAAATTTTACCTCGTTCACTATACATGTAAGCATAGTCGATAAACATATAATTTACTTGTATTTAGAGATATTTTAATCGATCTTATAGTCTATTTTCGAAAGTTTTAAAAGAATAATTTTATTCTTCAAACTTGCTGTTTCATAAATGGTATTTTGGGTTATATTCATTATATTTTATTCAAGAAGGTTTGACCTTTCCTTCAAACTGTCCATTCCGTTGTTGATAATCTGTGAAAACCGCTTATTGATCCTTCTTAATGTGGTTTGAACATGCACGTTGTAGTAATGTTTCCAATTTTATTTCATTGTGTATGGGGGTTCGAATAAATTGCAATTGGTACTTGACATCGAGATGGTAGGACCATTGGACTTCGGACCTAGCAACTATCTAAGAGAGAGCGCCAATAGTTATGATTTGACCATGTATTTGAAACAACGATTGGCGGTTTAAGGGAATACTAGAATAGTTCCTAGATGCGTTCATCTTGAACCGCCATAGCTTCATTTGCGGGTGGGAAACAACTTAAAGTAAACCAGCTGAGAATATGAAAGGAGCTATTCAAATGTGTAGATTTATTAAATGACGCTTTAATGATAAAGATGAATGGGGCATCTGGAAAATGATATGGCTGTCCTGATGTCCCGCGAGTGAGTGAGTGAATAAGCTAATAAGGTTAAACACACCTTCAGCAAGTTTTCAGATATTGAAGACGTTAATTACAATGAGATGTCTCCAGTTAGATAAACAATAGAATAACTGGTTCCATTTGTACTGATGTTTGATACTACGTCAAATCATCGCATGAATGGCAATGGTGAATTACGATCATAATTACTTAAATTGCATCAAAAACAATAACTTTATTTAAGTAAATTTGAGCGATCAATATTGGGATCCAACCTCAAATGGCTCTGGTATTACTCGATTTCATTTGCAGCAATATTAGCTGTGACTTGATTGAAGGAAATCAGATATGATTGGAATGGAAATCCCGAATCACTGCGATGCATCTTGCATGTCCCTTACATCTAAACCTGCAAGATGGATTTACCATTTCTAAATCAAAGATATTTGTGTCCAGCGACACATCTATACTTATACAGTAATTTTCACATTTTGGAGTAACATAATAGTTGTAAATACATCATCATAAAATTCTCTAAAATTCATTCAAAGTGTTTCTGAAACAAATTCCCCAGTATCTCGTAATTCCTATGGGATGGCTCAAACTTTTTATAGATGCAAGAACAAAAAGATCCGATACTCGCATCAGAGTTTATTATAACTGTGTCCGGTTACAATTTATCCTTGAAACTTGCTTAATATAATGCAGCTGGAATAAGACATTCCTGGTGGCGTTATTTAACGTTTGATAATTTTACTTGAAAATCAAGGCGATCTAGATCTCTGACGGAAGGTCTAAATTTACAGCTTGCCAGCCCGATGGTCTGGTAAAAGATTTAAATAACATGTTCCATACATCTGAGTAAATCTTAAAATCTATTTTTCAAATTGAGCGTTCTATTTTGACTTCACAATTACGGTTTAAACATTGAACTATCGTATCGCAAGCTCAAAGCTCTGCGTTGACAAGTAAAAACAGCGACTAAACAATAAGTTAAAATTGAGTTATTTTCTTTGGATTGTCTGGTCTGGTTAAATCCAGTTTGGGATGGTAACATTTTGAAGTTACCAGTCCTGATGTCTGTCTGGGTTTATGGCTTATTTCATACACTGATGACGGTAAACACATACTTTATATACACGGCAAATATTTCAGTATCATTCACTTGTAAACATATCAGCCTGTCAACAAGGCTTTGAAAGACGTTGACGTTGTCAGGTTGTCATGATCATAATAACTGTCACTATCAACAGATTAATGGTATTTTGGGGACGACTAATCTTTTAATTATAAAAACAATAAAACATTAATCAATTGTGTCTCATATCCATAGTAAAGATCATGGTGAGAATGAATAATATAAATAATTCCTGCATATGTAGAGCGCCAAGTATCCACCTAAAGATGCTCAGAGGCGCTAAGGACCAATTATGCGCAAGGCGCTGCTACTATTATTATTTCCCCGGTTAATCCAAGCTATACGTGAGGCGCTAGACGGTCAACAGTCATATGATGTTCTTATCCCACCGGGTACCCATTCACTGCTGGGTGAACAGAGGAGATTTTGAAAAAACTCACTTGTCTAAGGTGAGACCACATGTGTCACATGGAATTGGTCTTCAGAAACTCATACTTGTCGTAGGAGGCGATAACGGGATCGGGCGGTCAAACTCGCAGACTTGGTTGATGTATGTCATCGTATCCCAATTGCTTAGATCGATGCTCATGCTGTTGATCACTGGATTGCCGGGTAAGGCTCGATCATTTACAGACCGCCGCCTTATGGCTGGAATAATGCCGTAAAGCTCGCTGATATGGTTTATGCATGCCATCGTGTTTACGTAGAGGGTGGGTGGGGGTAGCCTAGTGGTTAAAGCGTTCGTCGTCTCGCCGAATACCCGAGTTTGATTTCCCACATGGGTACAATGTGTGAAGGCCGTTTCGGGTGTTCCCCGCAGTGATATTGGTGGAATAGTGCTAAAAGCGGCGTAAAACTAAACTGACTCACTCACTCAAGTTACGTAAACCGATGCTCATGATATCAGTCACTGCAGAGTGGCGTTAAACAACTAACAACAACTTTTGTTGTTTTAGTGGGAGCAGTGAAATCATATCTCCATCATGGGACAGCGATGCCCGAGAGCTTGAGGCGTGGTGCTGGATCACAGTCTCAGAGCAGTCACGATAATCAGCAACGTCGACCGCAACAGCGTAGACAGCAACAGCGTCGACCACAGCAATCACAGCAAGAGGAACCATCAGAGGAGAATGGTTGGCTGTTTGGCAAAATTGAAGAAGAAAGCGCTCCCTAAACTGTTCACCGAACCAGCTTCCACCAAGACAGTTCCATTCCGACAGCAGCGATCAATTCCTTATTTGGCTAAACCATACAGAACTAATCCACGTTCCTAACCAATCGGTAGCAGAGTTTGAAGAACATCATTTCTGTACTTGTTCGTTAGTAATGCTTTTCATCGATTCACAAGGGTTTCACAATAATTGAAATAATTGACATTCTGCACAGCAAATGATTGATCATGTAAGTTCACAAACGTGGGGAACTCATTTTCCATTTTTTTGAGAAAAAAACCAACAATATTCTTATATCCAAAAACGATGCTCCCAATGAGTTGCTAGAAGGTCTCCACTTCAACTGCTGCACTTAAGAGTGGCCTACCCAAAGGTCAAGGTCATGACTTTGACAGAAATAAAATATGCAAATTGAATCGATTTCAATGTTTTATCTACATTTATATTACACATTTGTATTTAAAGAGTGTATGTCTGAAATATTGAGAATTGGACCTTGTTCCACAAGCGTTCTTGGCGCTACGACCGTCGTAAATATGAAAATTACGAGCGTCTTAGTTCTAAAATCGCGTAATAGATCGCTGTGTTTTTTCATATATCCAGTGAGACACCATGACAAGGCAAAGGATACGGTAACCGGTGGTTGTTTCCATGTTACTGTAACGAATTGAGTCAATTACTACAGCATGGCCCCAAACACTGGTCCACAAGCAGTCGTAACAGTCAGACCATCGTAACTCCCATACTTTAACATAGATTTACAACAGGTGGCACTGAACCAAACTCTCTCATCGCAAAGATTCTGGCTAGCTATTCTCGGAACGTTCGTAACCCTACGAACTTCTTAAGCCCATTCTTAACACATTGGCTACGATCAAAGTTAAGAATTCTTATGGCTACGAAGGTTTAGAGAATAAGGGCCCTGATCCATCTGTATCGTAAGAATGTCTTTATATACTCATGCCAATAATGGTTGTCACAGCCTCCCCACCCCCACCCCACACCCCCTCTCCAATTAAAAAAATTGAAGGGGGTGACAACCATTACTGGCATGAGTATACTTTGACCGCATCCATGGTTTCATGGGACCCATGAAGATCTTGGTCTTCAGCAACCCATGCTTGTCGTAAGAGGCGACTAACGGGATCGGGTGGTCAGACTCGTTGACTTGGTTGACACATGTCATCGGTTCCCAATTGTGTCGATCGATTCTCATGCTGTTGATCACAGGTTTGTCTGGTCCAGACTCGATTATTTACAGACCGCCACCATGTAGCTGGAATATTGCTGAGTGCAGCGTTAAACAATAAACAAACAAAATGGTCAAGTGGATGAAACGTTTGGTCGGTGATTCGATCTCCGCCCGCGTTATACCAAAAGAAGGTGAATGATCCTTGTCCCACGCACGCATGCGCACACATACCCAAACCCACACACAGACCCCTATTCCTTTGCCACAAACACACCACACACACTCACGCTCAGATTTTGAAGCCCATTTCTTGTGTCCCCATCCGTGATGTTGCTGGAATATTGCTAAAAGCGGCGTAAAACCATACTCACTCACTCACTCACACTCATACTTTTACACACGTCAATTCAAAAGTAAAATAATCTTGTACCCCATTTTATTTTTTAAAACAATTCTCGTTCGTTGGTTTGATTAAAGTCTTTTGTGTAGTTTGTCCATGTATGTGTACGGGTGCATCGCCATATTAAGGATAGGACTTCATGTACCCGTGGGAATATAAGGGGCAGAATGTTGGCCCCCAGTGCGTGTCGTGAGAGTCAGTGAAATTGGTCGGATGGGGGATTTCGGTGGTTTGGTTCGTTGCTGAAAACAATCGCTCACTTTCCCCAGTTTCTGGAAAATTTTCACGACGGAACACCATTAAGCTAAAGGTTTCGACCCTTCCTAGTCAATGGGCACATATCCTCTCGACCATTTTTGTCCCCTTCCGCCAAATTCACTGCATCTCACTGCAATGCAAAATATCTAAATGAAGCTAGTCTAGATTTTCCACAAGTACTGAATCACACACCTCACTGAGCACCTTTTCAAATTAAATATAGTTCTTTATTTCTATCAAAAATTGTATATTTTCTGAGACTTATTGTCGGTCTGTAGATGAAAGCAAGAAAGCGTGGTAATCGTGGTGCGATCGCTGAAAATGTTGTCAAACATATGGTACATTCAGAAAAGCGAACTTTCCTCTGATTGAGGGAGTGTGATTTTACGCCGCTTTTAGCAATTTTCCAGCAACATCACGGCTGGAGACACCAGAAATGGGCTTCACAAATTGTACCCATGTGAGGAATCGAACCCGGGTCTTCGGCGTGACGAGCGAACGCTTTAACCACTAGGCTATCCCACCACCCTGATCTTTGCTCTAAAACGAGGATACCTCTCCCTCACTTTATCATTGACGCATCCATTACTGGTGTAGCGTCCACCTCATCTGTAAGGTCGATGAGATCGATCGAAGCGCACCGCATCTCTAAAGGTATTTTGCGTCAGAATACAATGAGATCTCTGTTCGTGGGCGTGCGCGGAATGTGTAAGTATGTACATATGGACCACTGATTAGTCCACCGTTAGTAAAGGTTAGTTATATAACGACATGGGTAACGGCAAATTGAACATTAGAAAACGACGAAGAAACGAAACTGTGTTAGTAACATCACTGGAAGAACATAACAACAATCTTTAAAATTTCTGTATGGAATTTTCTTTGCGGGGAGAGTTTCGGCTACACTTTCTTCCCATTTGGTCCAAGGTCTCCAATGAATCTCGACTCAACAAAGAAAACTCTGTGTATGAAATAATTTTGAAAATTATCCAGCCCGAATGTGATGATGTGTCTATTTAAATGGCTACATTACACAAAAACTTCCAAACGTTGCCAGCCCAGACCATTCCATACACTGCAAAACAGCCTATTGACTTTTCGAAATACGACTAAGACCTGAGTGTATGAACTTTGTCGACGAATTTGAAGAACAAATTAATAGTTTCTTTGCCTTTATTGTAATGATATTTGTTTCAGGTGTTTATAGGTCAAATTTCAATAAATCACTGAAGAGTGAGTGAGTGAGTATGGTTTTACGCCGCTTTTAGCAATATTCCAGCAACATCAAGGCGGGGGAAACCAGAAATGGGCTTCACACATTGTACCCATGTGAATCGAACCCGGGTCTTCAGCGTGCCGAGCGAACGCTTTCGCCACAAGGCTACCCCGACACCCTAAATCACTGAAGAGAACTCATAATTACCTACCAAGTGAATCCGAAATACAGATACTGTATTCTCAGGCTAATCTTTTCACGGTGGTTTGTATTTGAGGGGTTTGATCCCTTCATATATGTAATTCTCAATTCACAATTCTCAGAATATATAAATTATCCGATGTTGTTATTTTGCTGAGGTTTTATTACGAAATGTTAAAACTGATGAAATATACCAAATAAAGACTGGCCACGAATAGATGCTTCTCTTGGTTATATTAAGGTGTGCTGTCCCAAGCTAATTCCCCGACAACAAATTCTAGGTATTATAACTATCCTAGACCAAAAATATACATTAAGAGGTTATTAAAGGTCCAAGAGATATTATACTATTAATACAGGTCAGGACAACCCGATTTTTTCATATCCGTCATGTCTTTTGAGTAGTATAGGTCTGTCATGTGACGAATCTGGTGGTCCTGAACAATTGTTTTGTAGTATATATAATTTTTTCCCGACTTAAAGGCCGTCATCATGACGGCAGATAGTAAAACAATCAAGTTAAGATGCTCTTGCTCTCATTTCTAACATCCTTAACTGTCATTTTGTCAGATTTAAAAATTTTGATTCAAAATTTTAAAAAAAATTAGGTGCAAGGTGGGGTGGGTTAAATGCCAATTTTTGAGGCGACGTTTTAGTTCTGTAACAGATCATTGTTATAAAACAAACGATTATTATAAATTAACTCGTTTATTGTTATTCTACAGCTCAAATAAATTAAATTGACACTACTCCAAAACCAAAGTATAAATGAGATATATACTCTCCTATGAGAATGAATTATATCCTTAAAGATTTGGAGTCAAGTGAGTGACGGGAAATTCGAGAAACTGTAGCGACGTCAGTATATAATTCATTCTCACATCAATATCTGATATGTCAATTTGGTTTTCGATATATACTTATGTTTTGAACACCATGCACAAATCAGTAATCAAACTCAAAAGGTCATGACGCATGTAAAATGAAATGGAAAGGTCATGGAACATCCAAACAGAATTCGACGTAAAAAATGGACTGTTGGTCTGCTGAAGGCGGAGAAAATCGACCGTTCCAAAGCTGGAATTTCCTTGAAGGGGGATTAACTGTCTGTTACCATGGCTTCAAAGGACCATGAGCCATGTTCTTGGAGTAAACGAAAGTGCTTTGGCAGTGGTGAATACTTTGTTATTTACAACAATTATGGTTGTTATTAACATTCAAAATAAATATGTTAATATATTATTGTTATTGCACGATCCCGCTGACATCACCACAAAGGCTCGACTCAAGATGCTGGTTAAGATCCGTCGAAATAGTGTTAATAGAGTCCACCCGAAGCACAGTGACGTTAGTATGGCAATATATGGCAGTGTTAGGGTTAATCATGACACAAGTGATGGGGGGTTAATGTCCTACGGTTAGGAACCACAAACTCAGACCACGTGACGTGGTCGGAGGAAGAAAATCCACATCCATGTTTCCGCTGTGACGTTATGTTGCTTCCTCTGGCTTTTCCTCTTCGTCTTCTGTCGTCATGAATTTCAGAAATTCTGAAATGGAAAAATAAATATTTTGTTTAAAAACGGCGTTACTATCGGTATTGTAGAATAACTCTAGAAACCACAGTATTTAAGGAGATGGAACTCACTGACAGGGTTCGGTGTTTCGCTCGTCAGGCCGAAGACCCGGCTTCGATTCCCCACATGGGTACAATGTGTGAAACCCATTTCTGGGGTCCCCCGCCGTGATATTGCTGGAATATTGCTACAAGCAGCTTAAAACGACACTCACTCACTCACAGATAGGGGTGCGACTTTGATTTACTAACGTATGAGTGAGTGAGTGAGTGAGTAAGCTGGGTTTCACGCCGTTTGAACAGTATTCCAGTTTTATCAAAACATGTGTAGCTCAATGTAGGACGAAGGGCAGTGGGGTAGCCTAGTGGTCAAAGCGTCCGCTCGTCACGTCGAAGAACCGGGTTCGATTCCCCACATGGTTAAATTTGTTAAGTCCTTTTCTGGTGTCTCCCGCCGTGATATTGCTGGAATATTGCAGTACTAGCAGCAGCACAAATAGTAGTAGTAGTAGTGGTAGTAGTAGTAGTAGTAGTAGTAGTGGTAGTAGTAGTAGTAGTAGTGGTAGTAGTGGTAGTGGTGGTAGTAGTAGTAGTAGTAGTAGTAGTAGTAGTGGTAGTAGTAGTAGTGGTGGTAGTGGTAGTAGTAGTAGTAGTGGTAGTGGTAGTAGTAGTAGTGGTAGTGTTGCGGGGGGGAGGGGTGGTTGCGACAGTGCATTCTTCCAGCAGTCCACGTGAGACACGCCCACATTTCCGGGAATTCCACAACCACGGCTTCTTGTGTTTGGCAGCTGGCCTTCATCTGTTCATGGGTCTTGTAATGAAGTCACCTGATATCTGGGTCAACAAGACTGCACGCCTCAGCGATAAACACCACTCTTCTTCGGCAGGTATGTTAACATGATGAAACACGGGCAGCCCACTGTAGCTCGCCCAGAGGGATCATATCCTGACGAACGCCCATTGGTTAGGTCTGTATGCTTACACTGGACAAATGTCTGAGAGATAAGAGGATCTTTGTGTGATATCAAAGTTATTCTCTTGCTGTGAGAATCGAGCGTGTTTGGTGGGGTGAAATGGGGTTGAACGTCGCGTTCAAGGTTATCGTACTTATATAGCCACGTGGATGCACGTGTGTGTGCGCGCGCGTGAGTGAATTTGGTTTTACGCCACTTTTAGCAATATTCCAGCAATATCACGGCATGGACCCCAGAAATGGGCTTGACACATTAAACCCTTGTTGGGAATCGAACCCGGGTCTTCGGTGTGACGAGCGAACACTTTGACCTCTAGGCTACCCAACGCGTGGGCGTCTTTGTTGCTTCTTGTTCAACTTGGAACTGATGCCCGTTTTAGTGGCAACCAAGATACCATACCGCCGTTAAACCCAGACGCATTACTCAAGCAGACCAGTGTTTTTAACCCCCCCTATGGACAACATAGTACAACACGCAAGCAGTAAATACAGTTGTGGATTGTATGGCAACACAGTGTTGCAACAGTTTCGGGATTCGTCTTTTCTATTCGTCCAAATCGGTGACACTCGCATACTTCCGCCAGTCACGGAAAAACACGAGATAAAACACGCATGGTTTTAACGTTTCCATATGTTCAAACATGAGATATTGAACTTATAAACAATCCTTAAAGTCGGGGAGTCAGCACAGGGTTTTTACACAGACTATTAGATTAAAATACAATCTATAATGTCCTTGGTAACGCCTAATTTGCAAATGTATGTCCGTCTTGCGTCAAATTATTTCTGCTGTGCGCCTAAGATGTCTATCATAACCGTCCTCGGGTCTGCCTTGATGTTATGTCGATTTAAAATGATTACCACTTTCCTGAAACCGCAAGTAGTTTATGCTGACGAAGCAAAAGTTGGTGAAGACGACGCACAAGTACTGGAGCTATAGCCAAAACCCTTCAGAGCACACACCATCACAAACAGGCATCTACCTTGAATTACTCTGTATTTACTCAATGCTAAGAATGTTTGGTAAAACAACACCACTGCACCTGTAAGATCCTGGTTTTATCCTCGTTCACTCTCAGCAGCATGTTGTCTGTTAGGGTTTGTTTAGGGTTGAAACATGGAGGTTTGGATACATTTATCGTCTTGTGTATGGAGTGTGATGTGTACAAAGGTAGCAGATACTCGACACGTGTTCCACGTTACGTTGTAGTCTTAGCCCTACAAGCAATTATGATTCGAATTTCGGTTTTACATTCACATTGCAGTCTTTTCGCGTATCGTATTAATGGCGTACGGGGACTGGTGAAATGGAGTGAGTGAGTATGGTTTTACGCCGCTTTTAGCAACATTCCAGCAATATCACGACGGGAGGGTCAAATGGAATGACATGGTTTACGTTACGATCGGGCTTATTGCATGTGCAGATCATGAGTTTATGTGTGTGCGTGCGCGTGCGTTGGTGTGGGTGTGGGAATGTTGAGCAAGACCACTGAAATACCATGTCACAGTTTTAATATGAATAACCCACTCAGACACACTATACTGGTGCACTTGGTTTATCCAATTAATGCCGAACGTCAATAAGAGAAACAAGTAACATCAGTTTACAGTCTTTTTGTATGAAGCGTTTGTTTATCTTGTCATCGAACTTCCGCTCGATCCACTAGACCAGGAAAACGGTAGGTTGTAATCGACCAGGTCGTATATTGTGACCACATGATTCCAGTCGTCTGTCTCAGAAGCATCGAGTGCTTCAATTCTGAGAGAGTGAGTATGGTTTTAGGCCGCATTTAGCAATATTCCAGCAACATCACAGCGGAGTACACCAGAAATGGGCTTCACACACTGTACTCATGGGGAATCGAACCCGGGTCGTCAGCGTGACGAGCGGATTAACCGATAGGCTACCCAACCGCCCTGCTTTAATTGTGACTCTTGCTTGACAACGGTATGAGGATCTACACTAAAACTTTTCTTTATAATGGAATATAAAAAAAACAGTTATAAATAAATGGAACAGATATATAGCCTTTACTGTTGCTTTATTTTGCAAATTGTGTAATCACTGATTTCCAATGGTCTATTCGTATGATTGTTTCACGTTTTACCCCAATGGAATTTTTTTTTTCGCCCTGGTTATTCTCTGACCTTGACCTTTTTACAAGTTTTACATTTGGATAATAGGCCATATTGAAATGGTGTCAGTATTATTTGAGAATATTTGGGGATCTGATGACAAAATCTAGACACCAGAAATCTATTAAATATGATACTATTAAGTCGTGAATACATCTTGAATGTTCAGTAATGCCTGGAAAAAGTCACGAAATGTCATTCTCCTCGTTATCGTGTTTGACCGGTTGCCAACATACGTACGTGCCAATTCATTCACAATCAGGCATATTGAAATAAAGAAATATACAACACCACGTGCAAAAGCATAGATCGTGTTAGGTGCGGATTGTTTATTGTTCTCACACGATCAGTCGTAAAGAATGTATTATCTCTTTCAACAGCACTTGTGCTAAATGTAAATCACGGAAGTCCTAAACTTAACAACAGGAAATTATATTTTCGACAAGTATTTCTTTAAGTTTTATTTTCAATCAACGAATCAGTGACGAATAAAACACGATTTTCAAATCATTAATAATCATATTAGGTTGAGGTGAGGTGAAATTGGGTTTAACATCGTGCTTGAGAATATTTCGCTCATATGACGACGTGCATGCGTGTGTATGTGTATGTGCAGCTGCTTGTACTAGCCCAGACTGAAGCTGGTTTTAGAGTGCTAGCCCACTGAGATACCATGCCGCAGTGAAGCATGAATACCCCACTCAGACACATTATACTGACTCCGAGCCGACCAGTCCTTGTTGTACCCATTAATGCTGAGCGCCAGGCAGGGACCAACAAGTACCATATATTTTAACGTCTTTTGGTTTGACGCAGTCGGGGATCGAACCCGCGACCTTCCGCTCTTCGGGCGGATGCTCTAACAACTACACCACGGAGGCGGTCTATTAGGTTGAGAGATGTTTTAAATTCTCAGATTATCAGTTGAAAAGAAAGTAGTCTCATTATCAACAGTGTTTTTAAATGTGTTTAGGTTATCAGTTGAAAGAAAGAACGCTGGTTAAAGTAATTTCCAATGTGTTAATATAATCAGTTTAAAGGAAAATAGCCTCATTTCAACAGGTTTTGTTTGTAGCGTATATTTTTCGCTACTTCTACAAAAAAAATATTAAAAACACAATTCTTCTAAGAGTAATATTTCATGACGTAACAGTTTACTAGTATCAAATTATCAATAACCGTACACGTTTAAACTTTCTCCCTACATGAAAGACATTACCTTTCATTGCAAAAAAAATAAATATCGCTAAAAAGTCATCATAAAAATGCTACTAGTCAACAACTACTTATCAATATGTAAGACATTGATACAGCCGGTCCGATTTAATGAATTCCGATGTAACACAACTAGGAGAAAAATACCTGAGATGTTTACGGGGGGGCGATTGCCTTTTCTAGTCAGGCGTATACAGATCTCCCTCTGCGATAATATGACATTTGTAACAATAAACACTCCCCCATCACTTCCTCAGCGCCACTCATCCCATCCTCTCCCTCACTGGAATCATCCGTGGTCCTCTGACCTTTCAAAAGTAAGCCATCTTGGCAAACGAGACGATATTCGCCGACACCGAGAATATGCCGACAAGCTGCACTTTCTGAGACAGGGTGATTATCTTCGACCATCGTTATCTATACTTATTAATTTATTGAGGTTTCGGGATTGAAATTGGATATCTCGGGAATGAAAGGAACGCTTTGAAGAAGAATTTTTGTTCTTTTCGATTGTTATAGGAAAAGAGTTCTCGTTATATAATACTGGTTCACATAGCCTTTTGATAAAGAGTTGCTTTGGTTTTTACGTGCGGGCATTTGAAGCCGAGGTGTAGACTTTTAGCAGGAGACTGAGTGAGTGAGTATGTTTTTACGCCGCTTTTAGCAATATCCCAGCAGTATAACGGCGGAGGACACCAGAAATGAGCTTCACACATTGTACCCATGTGGGGAATCGAACCCGAGTGTTCCGCGTGATGAGCCAACGCTTTAACCACTTGGCTACCCTACCGCCCCTTTAGCAGGAAAGAATATATGCATATTTATGGTAGTCTTCGCGTCCCAAAATGATATTGAATCGTTCGTGAAAAATATCAACATACCCCATCACTTAGCAAAGAGTAAATTCTAAAAATTGTCCAACAGAACACTACAGTTACAGTTTAATGTATAGTAACATGAAAGCATCGTTTGTTCCTCAACTTCTTTTGAGCAGTATTAATAGACAACAATCAATGTTGTAACCTGACATAACTACTTAGATATTTCCTAAAATTAGTAAAACTTCTAAAAAGATGGTGGATTTAGATTGCTCACAATACTTTGTGTTTAAACACGAAGATCATCTACTAATTGATACTAAAATCAATGACTACCATATCTCAACTTCGACTTGGCCGACCTCCGTGTGTCTTCGTACCCGGAGGGCAATGATGAACGCCAGCAATCACAGAATATGTGTGTGTGTGCGTGTGTGTGCGTGTGTGTGTAGGAGTGGTCTTTCGGTTATGTTAAACTTATCTTGGGAAGGGATGGGGACACCAGAAATGGGCTGCACACATTGGGGAACCGAACCCGGGTCTTTGGCGTGACGAGCGAACACTTCAACCACTAGGCTATCCCTCCGCCCCACTGGACACTTTAATATAGTTTAAAACATGGCATCTGTTTCCTACAATGCGGGGCATATGCTTATCTTTTAAGAACAAAATGTGATAAAATCTCCAAATATGTGGTTAATGTATACAGTGCTTAAACAAAAAGTACATATCTTTCATTCAAGTAGTAAGTAACGGAATCCAAGTTAACCGTTTGAAGTTCTCTTGAGAAATACAAGAAGTTTTGTCGAACCCTCCTGCCGAGGAGACCCTACTTAACCCAGGTTAGGATGTTCTTAGAAGTGCAAAGGGAAACCGATGTTTCTTCAGAAAATAAAGAGAGTGGTGTATGCGAACCGGCTGGTGCAGGTTGATGCATATTGTGCTCGTGCAACTCGTTCAGCGCGTGCGCTGTAGCACGAGATGACGTCAATCACGGCTAGACTAAACATGCTTTGCATGCAGTTGGACAAAACCGTTCTCACTTTCTGTAAGTGAGTACTGTTGTACGCTACTTTCAGCAATATTCTTGCAAAATCACAGAAGGGTCACCGAAGGAGGGTTTGTAATTTTTAAATGAACACTAATTCTCAGTGTATTATATTCTGCCTATTTCAAATCAGCTGTTCAGTCTGAAAATGGCTGCTTGTGTCCATACCAGTTTTCCATTTCAACCCGTTATTAAAAATAATGTAAACTGTGCTTGTAGCGAAAACTCAAAAGACCAGTAATTTTAGTTCGTTACAACCGTAGTTCGTTACACGTATTTCGAAAAAAACTTTACAAGCGGTTGGGACTAAAACAAATAGTTCATAATGAACTTAGTTTACTTACAATCAGAAATTAAACAGCATCCATTATATTTATATTCTCGATTCCCCACATGGATACAATGTGTGAAGCCCATTTCTGGCGTCCCCCGCCGTGATATTGCTGGAATATTGCTAAAAGCGGCGTAAAACTAAACTCACTCACTCACTATTAAAATTCTATATATAGATATAAATTCACGTTGTCAGATTCCAGTATTGAGGAACCACCTCCGTGGTCTGGTGGGCAGAGCGTTTGCATGGAAAGCGGGCCAGGGTTCGACCCCGGGCCCCCACATTGAAATTCGTTAAACGATGGAACTACTTGTGACCTGCCTATCCGGGACTGGGGCGGTGGGGTAGCCTTGAGGTTAAAGCGTTCGCTCGTCACGCCAGAGACCCAGGCTCGATTCCCCACATGGGTACAATGTGTGAAGCCCATTTCTGGTGTCTCCCGCCGTAATATTGCTGGAATATTGCCAAAAGCGGCGTAAAACTAAGCTCACTCACAAACTATCGGGGACTCGTCGGCTCCTTATCAGTATACTGAATCTGAATGGCGTATCCATGACAAACTGTCGCATGCTATTTTCAGTGGGATAGCGCTAAAGAACTGGCATCAAGTCCCACCGAGAACAATATATATATATAAGTACAAGATTCTTCAAAGGAACCATTTTCACATCATTACCAACACCGCCCTAACCGAGGTTCCTTGCAATGTACATGTACATATACATGTAATCTTCTGGGTCATTCACAATGACCTTGTCAGATTTCGATCTCTTTCGAATAACTTACTTATGTAGTGGGGCTCAGTTGAGGTTTGAACCTCATTTCAAAATCTTAGAAAGGTTACACGGAAGTGACCTCTTGACCTATTCAGGGGTGAGGAGTCGGTGTTCGTTGCAACAAAGCGTTTTTATCATTGAAAACTGCAAAACCCTCTCTGGTGATGATTTTTGTGGAAAGTGATAATTCTGGCGATGAAGACCTGGTCTGACGAACGCCAAGGGAATGTATCTTTATGAAGGTGCTTTGGGGGCTGACTATTTAGGCGAGATAAACATTCCCCATTCAGAAATTTAGTATTCATATAACTGCTCTTATTTCAAAACGTTGATCTATTCAAATATTGATCTTTTTACTAATTCCACGTGCAAATGACACAGAATAAATAGTACCGTCATGAAACAATATGTTTAACCAAGGTCATGTCTTCATAACATTCCACAGTTTCGTTCACCGTTCTTACTGAAGAAAAACAACATTTATTATTTCCAAAACGATATTTTGGAATTAGGATCCCACCAGAGCGATATGAAATAGACCGTTGTCGATATCACAATTATCCTTACCGTTGAATGTTATCCTCTGATCTTTATTCTTGTCGATTTCTTCAAAGATCATTTCTTTAATCTCCTCCTCTTTCAGACCAACTTCGTTCTTCATGGGGGACAGCACCCCTTGAAGAGCGTCACAGGGAATGTAGCCGACAACTCTTGTGTCCAAGATCCTAAACATTTCTTTGAATTTCCTCTCTTCCTCCGCTGCGCCCGCCATCGTTGCTTCTTTCGCGTTCCCCCTTCAATGTCCCCCTTCGAACTGGCTAGCAGCGAACGCCGGGAATATTTGCTAGGCGAGAGCTTCTCTCCAAAAATGGCTCCCTTGGAATGGTAAGGTGTTATACCGTCCGACCGATTTCGATTGGCGGAGTACTATGCTTGACAGAATGTAGGGCCACACCTTTTTGTGAGGTGTAGCTGTGATTGTAGGCGATACTCAGGCGAAGATATATAAGAATAGCGCCACCTGATGACAAAAACCTGCCTCGGGGTTTATAGATGGTTTCTGCTAAAGTCTTTGTAATATATATGGATTCGTGTCTTATCATACTCAGTTTGATTAATGATTCGGTCAATATTAATTAATATACCCAAGGAAATTGCGTTTCGATGTCACGCTTATCAGTTCCTTTCGGTCGTACATATACATAAATGCAATAAAAATAACTAAAATTTTCACCTTAATTTGAGACAAGTATATTCAAAATGCATTTGTATCAATCTTTTAAAATAAAATCCTTTTTGACATATTTCCCAGAGGTTTATATATTTGAGCAATATCACAATGGAGAAACAAGAATGGACATGACACATTACATACAATGGGGGATCGAACCCTGATCTAAGTCATCTTGAGCGAACGCTGTAACCACGTGCCTGGGCAGTTGGGAAACCTAATGGTTAAAGTGTTCGCTCGCCACACTGAAGACCCAGGTTCGATTCCCCAAATGAGTACAATGTGTGAAGCCAATTTCTGGTGTCCCCTCCGTGATATTGCTGGAATATTGCAAAAAAGCGGCGTAATATTAAACTCACTCACTGTAACCGGTGAGAAAGTGGCCTTTTAAACCTTTTAAAAGGTTTAAAACAACAACAACAATGGTATGCATATTCAGTTCAATTTAGCATTAGATCACTTTACATATCATACAACAAGAATGGAATTCTGTTTCCAATGTACTCATTTAAACATCCTCAAATGTTAAAACGCCCCAAATCATTCTCCATTTTTTTACACAAATCTTTGACGGGAAGGGAGTTTTTTAGGTAACATTTGCCGCGTGACATACACATGGTCTTATTAACGAGTGTTAATCTTGAAACAGACCATAGCTCCAGTTGCGTGAAATCGTATAAGGTCAATGAAACAAAAGCTGAACGCGGACCTGATCGTGCGTTGTAGGTCGTCTTAAGGATAATAGCACCCAGGTGTGCAACGCACTTGTACATGTGATGTACCTGTTGTATAGACAACATGGATATTACAGAATATACACACTCTGCACAGGTGTGAGGTCTGCGGAAGGTGACCCCAATTATCCGGACTTCACATTCAGTGATTGATGACTGCATACAACGGCATTTAGGAATGGTCAAATGCAACATATGTCTGTTTGGGATTACACTTTCTCAGTAGATTCAACTACCTTTTTGTGCTGTCGATAGGGTGCCAGAATATGAGAGTACGGGTTCGAATCTGGAAGGGACCCAACCCCAAAAAGTATTTGAATCTGTATATATTGGTTTGTTTGATTGTTGATTGACGCACCCAGCAAGATTCCAGCTCTATGGCGCCGGTCTGTAAATAATCGAGTCTGGGCCAGACAATCCAGTGATCAACAGGGGCCAGACAATCCAGTGATCAACAGCATCAGCATCGATCTACGCATTTATGATACGATGACAAGCATGGGTTGCTGAAAAGCAATTATAACCTGGATCTTTACGGAAGGACTATGAACGTTACTGTGAAAATATAATCCCACATACATCATGTGTTACTTAGTTTTTCAGCTAGCCTGACCAACCGATCCAATTTATTCGCCTCGTACGACAAGCATGGGTTGCTGAAGACCAATTCTAACGTGGATCTTCACGGGTGGAAACTGTATTTTACTGAGAAAATATAATCCCATATATTACTCAGTGGTTCAATTTACAAGATATTGGTTGGGATAAACGGTTTTCAACTTGGAACACAAATGCAACAATTGTCAGATTTTTCATCATTAGGAGGTGATGATATTTTAGATGTTTTTGGCAGATGCCGGCAAGGTTGTAACACGTGTTGCACGAAAAATCATATTGCTCAAAGTGATGTAATCTTAGCGCTCATTGGTCAAAAGTCTAGCTTGTTTTCCCTCTTTCTTGAGCAGGCCGTTTCCTGATTGGTTAGATTCAAAGCGGCCGTTTGTCTCTTTTATGTTCACACCAAACACAGCTCTATGACGCCGGACTTTAGACAATTGAGTCTGAACCAGATAGTCCAGTGACTGACATCATGAGTACAAATCAAGGTAAGCTGGGTACAGTGACATGCATCAGTGAGTATGAACAGTCGATCCCGTTAGGCGCCTCCTCATCACGGGAGTCAAAGCGGCCGGAAAGCATTAGCAGGGTCCTTATTCTCGAAACGGTCGTAGCCCTAAGAATTCTTAAGTTTGATCGTAGCCAATGTGTTAAGAATGGGCTTAAGAAGTTCGTGGGGTACGAACGTTTCGAGAATAAGGGCCCTGCAGGTGATGGGCGGAAGTTGGTTGGTTGTTAAACGCCGCTCCAAGCAATATACCAGCTATATGGCAACGGTCTGTAAATAATCGTGTCTGGACCAGACTATCCAGTGATCAACAACATGAACATAGATCTACGCAAATGGGATACGATGACGTGTGTCAACCAGGTCAGCGAGCGTGGCGATCCGATCCCGTTAGTCGCCTCTTACGATAAGCATGGGTTAGTGAAGATCAATTCTAACCCGGATCTTCACCGGTTGGGCGGCCCGAATACATTAACGGGTGATGTACAGAAATACTGAGTATACCACCTGTGAAGCATTGACGATGATATATGATCTGATGTCCATATCTGTAGAAGACTCATTTGATATGAGAGTCAAGATTTACCTTTTTTCAGCGTATGACGAGTGGCCTTTAATTCTGAATTGTCGTTTACGTAAATGCGGTATGTGGTATATGTTATAGCCAAAGCCTTCGAACGGTACCTAGCCCTGCGATAGTTATGTAATAACATCTCAATATAGCTTGATAATCGAAACATATTTCAATAAAAGTCTCAAAGAAACTTGTGAATGCTAATCGACTCACACTAAATGTCAAAACTATCGGGAATATATTTAACCCACAAATTTTAGCTATTTGGCTACACAGCCAGATTTAACCCCCTGGATGCCGATTAAAGAGACGGCATTACCTAATTCAAGTGACAGAAAAGGACAATATCCAGTCAGACACAGTATACTGAGTACGACAAATACTTGTTTTATCTCTTTACCCTGCGAGCCAGGGTAACAACAAACACCATAATTTAGGTATGAAGAAACCGTGTTCGAACTACCAACCTTCCACTCTCCATGCATACGTGCTGTATCCATTAAATAACTGGTTTGTCTGGTCCAGAATGTAATTTGCACAGATTCTCGAGATACTGGGGTAATATTGCTGATTAGGTCGAAACACTATTCACCTTGATTTAGAAGATAAAGCTACTCCGTTTTCAATTTTGCAGTGCTTTATCGTTGATTTCAGACTGCTACATGTAATTTAAAAAGCGAAAGCGTTTGCGTTTATTGTATTCATACGTGGTCAATCGGTCACTTTAATTAGAAGTCCTTAAACTGCCATTTAGTACGGTTTTGATTAATAAAGCTGGGCCCCGTCTCGCATATCGCAATGTCGTGCTGGAATCAAAGTTATACGGCGGTATATGGTGGGAAAGAGAGATTTCGGTCACGTTGTTGCTCACAGTGAGATCGTCCATGCAAAACTATACTAAACTATATAAGGTAGGCCAAATCGTTGCCCGAGAAAATATGAACGTAACGGATAAATGTCTTTTTAAAAAATAAAAAAGCCGAGTGAAACCGAATGTCCATTGATGTGATCGCGTACAACTGTGACGTCATAAACGTCGTTCTACACAATGGTCCATGACGTCACCATTTTATGACGACATCCACTTTGTGATGAATATTTCTATGGTAACGTCAACACATGCTCCATAATACTAACGGCAAGGCTTACTTATGCTGGCTGAACAATGCGACATTGCACAAGAAATTGTCCCTGTGTTTCAACATAGACGGATATTTCGTCGATACAAAAATCTTCTCAAATTTCAAATTCGACGTCTAAAGAATCAAACGCCTCGGAAGTCAACAAGCGAGTGGAGAACATTTTTTCCAAATACGAATGTCCAGCTGGTGTTCATTGCATCTGGTATTTTGGAGATTGTGGGTACATTGAACATCATTATGGAAGGTTTAGATGAGGCTCAGAAAGCGTCCTTATTGAACGGTGAGTAATTCTAGTGGTAACCATGAACAATTATTTTTAACTATGATACCGTATGTCTCCTAATAGACGTCCGGGATATGTCCTGTGAACAAGCTTCCAGGCCGGTCGGATACTGAGTCCGGGCGCTTTTAGAGAAAGTATACAGTAACTGGGTATTGATCACATGTGCTGCTATAAATAGCTTGTGTTATGGGCGATGAAAACTGTGGGTATTCTGGGTCCCACATTTCCAACAAAACCCCGTAGTCCCAAGACCGTTGTACAAAGCGATCTTAATAAATATTAGTAATGGAAATGTATATAGCGCTAAATCCAACCACTAAGTGGGTGCTTAAGCGATCTCCCGTAACTCCCATACCTTAACATAGGCTAAAGGTAGTCTCAGCGCTAAGGTTGTTTCGAACATCGGAACCCATTATTGAATTCCAATAAAAGCCCCAAAGTGCATGGACCAACTGCTGTGTTTGAGTCCTTTGTACATTTCTGTTTCTTATATTCTTGTCTGATTGAGATGGCAATATTGATGATCAGCCCTTCTCATATATAATGGGTAGAAATTATCACGAACATATGAATTAAACTTGCATTATGCAATATACCTGTCAGCCATATTTGGTTGATGCTTCTGGCTGTTTCAAAGTGACCCCGCTTGAATGATAGCTTCATACATAGCTTTATACCTCGAAACTGATGTCAAACATTCATGGTCATCGCAAATCGTAAACATCACATATCAAACATTGTAAATCTACTCGAAAAAGAGACCAAAGATTATTATGTTTTACAGATTAAAATAATAATGCAGCAGTGAGGGTTCGCTGGCACAGTCAGGCTGGTAAGGTTCATCATCAGGTCAGGGCCCTTGCCCCCTCTACACGCAGCCCAGACAACAGCCCAGACAGCGAATGGGACTTCTCACAGGAAATGCTGCCTAGTCGAACCCACCAAGAACTTTCTGGAGAATATGTAGACTCCTCAACACTGCAGCCTTCTGCATTACCCAGAGTGTCAGAAGGGCTGTGCTCACGGTTGAGAATCCGGGCACTCTCCTGATCTGCGCCAAGAGATCAGGAGGTACCAAACCTAGGGCACCGAGAACAACAGGGAGTCTGGCGACAGTGTACTTGGGATGCAAGCGAGACACAGAGGCGAGGTCCGCATATTTAGCATGCATTTCCTGCATCATTATTATTCCACAACTCAACATCTATTCAAATTTGACAGTTTGCCTTAGTATTAGATACTTGTTATTCCGCTATTTCACAGAGATCGAACGGAAGCTGGGGAAGATCTCGGACAACCTTCAGCAACAAGACATCTCCATGCTCCCGAACCTTGACTGTAAGGTGGCACTATTGGAGACTGAACAGAAAGAGTTCCTTCACCTTCTGTCTGCAATCCCACTGGACTTGGTAAGGCCATTTTAAAAAATCGTTGCTGTGAATATACGGTTAAATTGGTGTTATATAAGTAACTATGTTTATTAGCAAATATTTTAAAGACGAATACTGTAGGTCACGAAGAAAGAGGGTTGATTCAATGTCGAGAATATCAGGAATACAAAGTATATTGAGCAAATTGTTTAGATGAGGCGAGTCAGTAAATAAAGATTTTTGTCTTTCGAATATATTTAATATATATATATGGTCAGAAGTCATTCATTCCTCTGATGATCATGATAATTTATGGCCGTGTGTGTGTGTGTGTGTGTGTGTGTGTGTGTGTGTGAGAGATATGATTTTAGATGGGGGTCAGTGTCACCCATTTTGTTCTGGGGAGCTGTGTGTGTGTGTTTTCCCTCGATTTTGTACACATGTACTGGGGTTGTTGTTTTTTAGCAATTTTGTACCTAAAAATATGTTTACAATTATGCTTAGAAATTATGGGAAGGGGAGGGTAATTGATTTTGTACATGACATGCAGGGGGTGGGGTCGGGGGTGGGGTGTCACTTATTTTGTACATATATTTTAGAGGGGGGCATTCACATTGTACATGCTCCTCCATAAAATCATCATCAACCACCACCCACCACCACTCCCCACCCGTAGCCATCAATTAATCAATTATGAACGGTCCCTAAATCAAGTAAACAACAGGCCTGATGTCAACAACAACTCGTGGTTATTTCAGGCCGCTTCTGTGCTGGTTCATGGTGGGGTACCCTCGTGGTTGTGTTGGGTTCGTCTCCGACACCTGGGTTCGACTCCTTACATGACACCGTAGAAGGTGTTCTGCCAATTATTAGTTTTTACAAAAACTAACACCACAATCAATGTATTGACAGGAAACCAAAGCGACCGTCGACGCATTGAGACAGAAAATGGACGATATTGTTACCACAAGCCGAGAGAGCGGAAGTATCGAGGGGAGTTAACTCTTGTCAGCCAGATGAAAGAGTTACTGTCCTTGCTCCAGCTGATAACAGTCAACCTGTCGGAGTCGTACATGAATAACAGTGAATGGTGAGTACCTCCCAATATTTTTCAAGGAAAGTGAGCGAGACCAGTTTTACGCCGCTTTTAGCAATATTCCAGCAGTAACACGGCGGGGGACACCAGAAAAGGGCTTCACACAGTGTACCTATATGGGGAATCGAACCCGGATGATCGGCGTGACGAGCGAACGCTTAAACCACAAGGCTACCCCACTGCCCCTGTTTTTCAAGGGAGGAGGGTGAGTGTTTTAACGTCGCTTTAAACAGGTCATGGTTGTTTCCCTCAAACTGGGAGGAAAGTCAAGCAAATCATAAACCTTTACCACTTTGTTGAAACCCACGATCACGAAAACTATCAACCATTTATAGCAGATCTGTGATTCGAAGCAACGATCAAAGGAGTGCCTGAGGGGACGCAAATCAGCACAGCACATTGCACCATAGATCACTGGAACACCGACTGGTGAGACAGAAAAATATGTCTATCGACAAAACATTGTAGAAAATTCAGCGCATTCATTGTGAAAAAGAACCTTTGGGTCAGGTGATCAGAACAAATGAATATAGCCTCCCACAGAATTATTTATGAATTGTCTTACAGTATACCCGATACGATATCATAAGATCTAAATCATTAGACAAAGTCATGTTAAACAATCGCAGTCCTTCATCAGTAGTGCGAATGGATGGATTTTGTTTTCGTGCTAGACGCCGCACTCAGCAATATTCCAGCAATATGGTGGCCCTTCATCAATAGTGCGAATTTTCGCCACGGTCAGCAATATAACAACTTCAGTAGTTGGCCATAAGTGAGTCATCATTAGTGAAATGTCCATAGACTTACATGTTAATTAACTCTTGCAAGAATAATTTTCATAAATTGAGTAGAAGTCATTTTATTTTGCTATTTTGCAAACATATTGGAAATCATCTTCAGCTACATGTACATAATTTTCTTTCATCTTTCCGTTGATAAGTTATCGAATGACACCTGATTAAGCACCATATATAAGTACAACTTTTAATCTATCCCATAGACAGCCATGTTAAACCAAGTTGCTATGTCTATTATATGTTGTTTAAATAGCTTTCTTAATAATCATCGGAAAATTGAATGGAAATTATGTGTATGTAGCTGAGATGATTTCCCAGCTGGTAGATAAGTATTGAAAGCAATTCGACCGAAAGTAAACTTATGAAAATTATTCTTGCAAGAGTTAATTAACATGCAAGTCTATGGGAATTTCACTAATGATGACTCTCTTACGGCCAACTACTGTATATGACGACGTCCCGTCAATGGCTCCGTCAAACGTGGGTTGCACAAACTTTCTTTATGTATAAAATGAACAAAGGCCCAATGGGCGCGATCAACATGGCTATCGCAGCGCTACGCGGGTTCCCACATTTTTGTGAAAAGAAATTCCATGAATTTTCAAGACAAATATTGCTTTTTCTAGGCACAACAATATATGTTCTAGAGTACTGTGATACCTTTAAACATATACTACTGTGTCTGAAATAAAACAGTATCTTAAATACGGGCTCCTATCTCCCCTTACAGCTGTCCATCCACACATCTTTATGATAAGATGACATAATAAAAATGAAACATCAAGTATAGCAACTTTTCTTTTTCTCTTTAACAATCTTTATTGACATATAACCACTATGAAACATGTTATTGAAATCAATAATGGTTTAATATCTTACAGTATTAAACTGCAGACACATTGCATATGCGAAAACCTTAAATGCAAAAGGTGCAGTTCGACCAGCTCTGGAGGCAAGGGGCGCAAAACCCTTTCAACCATCAAACATTGAATACATTTTATTGTTTAGAATTTTAGTACGACATGTACTTAAGCACGTATTGACGTCAATGAAAACTAATCCAGATACACATGTTGATGGCTGCCATAGCCATTGTAGTTCTGTTAAGATATACAGTTTTGTTAGATAAAATAACAAACAAGATTATTCCATGATTTTTCGAAGACTGGAAAATGGGGTGTGAAATTTCCAGGTCTTGTGGAAACCCTGGCTACGACTGCCGGTAGTCAGTGTTGAGTATGGGAGTAACCATGGCATTATGGTTACAATCGCTCTGTGAATTACGAAACGATGACAAATACTCAAGTCACTCAGAAACGTTCTAGTCGACCCCAATGCGTGATGTAAGCAAAGGTAACGAGAGTCGAAAATGGTATATATTCATTCGTTTAAAAAAAATCTGTGCATATAAATGTTTGACAGTTCACATCCTCACAAAACCTGAATGTTGCAACTCTTTGTAGCCTCCCCTTCCTCCCCGAGGGCGATGACGCACTGTGGCGACGTCTCGTAGCGGTGCCCGACGACCCCAGCAACGACGAGATGTCCCTGAAGCAGATTCACGACGAGCTGATGGTGGGAGTCTCAAGCAGCGAAGGCATCACCTCCAGTGAAGTTGGGGAAGACGCGAACACAGAAGGTAGGACAGTTATCAGTTGAGTTCACTTCGGACGTTTTTTCGAAACGTTCATAGCCAAGTGGCTTGTCTCTTGAAGATTTAAATGCGACTAAACTTCTTCCTGTTCTGTTCCTGACCCGTGAAGGTCCGGGTTAGAATATTGATCTTCAGTAACCAATGTTTGTCGTAAGAGGCGACTAACGGGATCGGGTGGTCAGGCTCGCTGACTTGGTTGACACATGTCATCGGTTCCCAGTTGCGCAGATCGATGCTCATGCTGTTGATCACTGGATTGTCTGGTCCAGACTCGATTATTGACAGACCGCCGCCATATAGCTGGAATATTGCTGAGTGCGGCGTAAAATTAAACTCACTCATTGTTCTGTTCGTTGCCACTGATCAACCGTAACACCGCTATAAATAATAATGCAGCCATGTCTTGGCGGTTTTGAAATAATCGATTCTTGACCAGGAAAACTAGTGGTTGGTGGTATGGTTACTCATTGCGACCAACGAATCTCTTCGTTAGTCTTAGAATACCCGATTGTCAGCTTGGTCTTACATTCCGAGACATGGCAAGATACATGCTACATAAAACATCTGGCTTTGTTTTGACAATATAACAGTTGTGTGAAATGGGTGATGAGAAGGGCGAACTCCACTTTGAACAGTATTGCTGTCACATCATGATGTCAGTCTGATGATGGAGTGAGTGAGGGCGTATGGTTTTACGCCGCTTTAGCAATATCCCAGCAATATCACGGCTGCATACACCTGAAATTAACCTCACACATTGTACCCATTTAGGGGTTGGAACCTGGACACGAGGCTACCCTACCGCCCCTCGGATAGAACGATTAACTTGTAACTTGAAAGTGACCCACTATTTAATATTCAGTCTCTGCTTTAAAACGCTCAATGTGTTTTTGAGAAAGGTGAAACTAAAAAGAAGAGTCACATCAAACATGTCAAGCGGACAAACCTGAGCCGAACAACGTATTGCCAGCATTTTCTTTTTGTCAAAAACACCTCGGGCCTACCCCTCAGATAATGAAAAGATTGGTTCTTCAGAGGGGACTAAACTGGGTGGAAATTGTCAGACTTGGTTGACACGCGAAGATCCGTGTCCAAAGAATAAGCAAAGTCGTGGAGAGACAGATGATAGTCATGCATTAACATTTAAAACTTCCGTTTTAAACGACACCAAGTAAATTTGATGTTTGCAGATGTGAAAACTGGGCGACAGCGATCTCGAAACCGACAGAAGAGAAAGAGCAGGAGGAATGTGTCAAGTGTGGACAATCAGCCCACGGCCCCTTGTCAGGACGACCAGATACTGCCTGAAATCAATGACTCGAGATCCAACCTAGGCTCCGCTCAGCCACTCGATCTGTCCGTAACCAGCTGCAGAAGCAGGTCCAAGGAGGAGGACCCAGAACTGACGCCAGTTCCTCAGCCTCAGTACCCCAGGAGGCCTCGCGCTGACTCCCCTATGCCGCGTGGGGGAACCTTTGGGACAGGTCTGGACCATGGCTACTCCTATGCTGTTGCCTACTCGCCAACAAAAAGAAGTTCTACATCTGCAACAGACGCTTCAGCATGTGATGTGTCTAGGACGGAGGATGTGCCTGCAAGGAAGGAGTATTCCCAGGCATCAGTGAGGAACCATGCTTATATTGGCTTACCCGCTGGAAGCCATATCCGGGTCACCTCGTCAACTGACACGGAAGGGTGTGTGCATCCGTCCTTCCAAACTGAGGAGTCAGAGCTTGGTACTGACGTCCCTCCAGTCCAGTGTTTGTTCCCGGCGTATGCCAAGCCGGCTCATGACCATGGGGTCAATATGTCGCAAGAGGCTGACTCAGCAATTGTACCAGACTTCAGCCAATCGATTGCCAGCGATATTTCACACCAAAGGAGCCATTACACCTCTCCCGCTGACAACTCTGGATATGCTTCTCCAGACTCGATGAACGATCGTAGCCTCTCGAATGTTTTTGAGGGCATCCACATCTCACCGTCTGACAAGTCCGTGCACAGTTTCACGTCCACCTTCTCCGACAACTACTCCCACCTCGGCAGAGACACGACACGGGTGTACAAACACGGGTACAGGGGCATCGCCCCGGGGCGTAATGTCCATAACACCTCTGACCAGATCGTCAGTGGGGATCTCGATGAACAGTCCTTCCTGACCAGGTCGTTCATGCTGGACGATATACCAAACCTGCAATCAGAGCCATCGTTCCTGAGCTTTGCCTCCCATGATGACACAAGCAGATGTTCTGAACATCTGGGCAGAGAGTTTGGAGATGAGAGGTTAAAGGAAGTGGTCTTTGAATCTCCACCTAAACAATCTACACCTCGAGGTGCTGATGTCGAAACTGTTGGACATTTAGGCAGGAAGGGTTCAATGGTGAAAGGACGCAAACCCTCGACAGGTTCAAAGAGTAAGGAAGTGGAACTGGACGTTATCGCAGCGCCCGAGATATCCGTGACGAACATATTGATCCTGACATTCGTGATACTGTTTGTGGTAGGGGTCTGCCTTCACTTGAAAGCAACAGGGCTGACTGCTCTCCTTGAGTATTACTCGTGGTGGGAGATCCTCTACAAGAATATTGATGTGACCAAAATGGGCGACACTTTATTCTGAAGGAGGATAGTCACAAGAATGAACTCGATCACGGCTTCTTTTAATCTATCAGAACGTTTGTACCATGATCTTCATAATCACGAAATGTACAACTGGGCTTTTTGTCAAACGATGCGATCTTAGTCATGCGACTTTTAAAAATGAATTACATGAATAATCAGAATAATCTTTGAGCCCAGATCTTACACGCAATCATTACTCTATCATGTAGAACCAAATACGCTGGAAAAGCCGCGAGTTCTTATAGAGGTCAACTTTACAAATATTGCTTTGTATAGACTTAAAACTAATAAAACGAAAATGGGTGTTTTGGGCAGAAAATCGATGATTCTCTAAATTGATATTTTGAATAACTTATCCTGACTCATGATCTTTTGCCCAGGTGACTTTGGTAACTCTCTCTCTGTCTGGTGTGTGTGTGTGCGCGCGTGTGCGTGCGTGAAAGAAAGTAAAGCCATGCCATGTTTCGTGGGATGCTCCACTCAGCAAGCCTGGTAATGGTTATATTCAATGAAGGTCATTTCAAGATTTAATGTAACACAGAGACAGGCAGGTCATACCTGGGACATGAATCGAGTAGAAAGCTAGTCCCGGAGACCAACGCAAGATTCGGAAAATTGTTACACTAAGACAGCTAGGTAATCTTCCTGTACAACACAACATTAAAATATATTTTTAGTGCAATCAGGACATCATTTGAAATAATGGCCTCACTCAGCAACTAGACATTGGTTTGGGTATGATGCTTGTGAGTGAGTTTAGTTTTATGCCACTTTAAGCAATATTCCAGCAATATCACGGCGGGGGACACCAGAAATGGACTTCACACATTGTACCCATGTGGGGAATCGAACCCGGGTCTTCGGCGTGACAAGCGGTCGCTTTAACCACCAGGCTACCCCACCGCCCCATACAGCTTGTGAATGGTTCAGATACACGGATACACAAAGACAACCACACATGGTCTTATTGGAGTCCCAGCAAAAATCCCCTTTTCCCCTTCCTTTAAAACCCTCCAAGATTATTTAAATGAGTGAAAGATTAAAGATTCGTTTGAACAATTTCTTCCTCAACAAAACATGCAACTGCTGTGATTAACGACATGGATTTATTCAAAATGATGAAAGTAAACTAAAGACAGATCCTCCCCAGAAATGTCTGTCCAGATGACGTAACACAATCACTATGTGACGTCATTCACAACGGATGACATATGATTTTCTTTATCTTACCTTCATGTAAAATACTTAAATTTCATTGGTCAATTACGGTTTAACAAGTTTCCGTGTCACCACTTCCAGGAGGGTGACAACTGAAAAAAAATATTACCCGCTGCCACGGTAACCGCCAAGCTCTCCGCCGAGAAGCTGAAGAGCTAAAAATCGTATGACGTCATAATATGACGCATGCAGTGCTCGGAGTTCGAAAACCGTTCGATCAGCTCTTTTTGTGTTCACTTTGTACAGATTTATTTTACCGACTTTCACTGCTTTATTTAAGGTATTTTATACATTGAGTGGTTTACACACTCAGCTTAAACATAATTTACCATTTTTATAGCTGTTTTATGCTTGTCGGAATATGTTTCACTGATGTCAAAAGTCCAGTCGAGAGGCAGACGCCATTTCGTTTGCATGTCATATAGTCGGTAGCGATAACATAAAAATAAAATAAAATGATGTTTTGTACATTTAACATGGCGGTAAGATGAATACGTTGTATGCTTCTTGGCTCGGGTGACACTGCTGCAAAGAGGCGTACATCAGACCGTATTACCCTCGAGAGAAGCATACAACTTATATTAGCAATTACTGCTACATGTATATTGTGCACATTAACCACACTACGTGATGAATCGGGTTAGAATTGGTATTCACCAACCCATACGACAAACAGGATAGAGGGATTGTACGGGATCGGGTGGTCAGGCTCGCTGACTTTGTTGACACAAGTCACTGTATCCCATTTGCATAGATCGATGCGCAAAATGTCAATAGCTGGATTGTCTGGTGCAGACTTCATTATTTACGAACTGCAATCATTAAGCTGGAACATTGCTGAGTGTCGCGTTAAAAAGAAAACAAACAAAAACAAAACGAGGACGGAAGATCTGTGAGTACAAGAAACTGACCACCCATCTCCATTTCAGAAGATTCTTGCGACATGCACGAGGAGCAAAGGTATGGTTCAGGGTGAGCGAGTGGGGTTTTACAACGCTTTCGGAATATTCCGAGATCAGTGGGCTCTCAAATTCTTTCTTAGCCCCCGGGCAACGCAATATGAGGTGCTGGGTTCAGAGTGAGTTTGGTTTTATGCTGCTTTTAGCAATACTGCAGCAATATCACGGCGGAAGAAACCAAATATGGGCTTCACAAACTGTACCCCACAACCCTCTGGTTCACAAAGTAAAGAATTGATATCAAACAAAAGTCAGCTTTTTTCTGGCTGAGCGTAATGGTTAGAATTGTAAAATATTTTCCTCGGGGGATACAAACCTCACGTTGGTGTGGGACAAGAGGTCACAATAAATAAATGATTTTCCTCGGATGCATTTCATCAGCAAGCACTCAAAACTAGGCAATAGCGCGTAAAGGCGCGGTCATATCTTACGGTCGTGGACGTTCTTCTACTGGGCCGTAGTGACTAACGTAGTAAACCGTAGTTTGATCGTAATGTCATGTTACCACGGTGTACTACGGTCAACACCACGGTGCTGTAGGGTCAGTTACGGTCTATTAGGGTGAACTAGTGTCAACCACGTTCAAACTACCGTAACAGTAGGGTCTTGGCATTCAAGCCAACCGTTGAGATATTTTGAACATGTTGAAATTTTTTTGGTCTAACCACGGCCAAATCATGGGTTTGAACTACGTTTAACTAAGGTCAAATATGGGTTTACTCTGTAAGATGTGACCACCACAGCAAATTGTTAGCTAATTCACGGACACAACCATGATTTTGTCCATGACAGCATGAATTTCACTACATTGTCCTCATGTGGTATTGAAGGGGTCCTTCTCATAAAATAATACCTTGAATATAAGTTGATGAGATGGACCTGGCTGAGCATGTTTCTCATATCATAACAAGAAAACAGTGTTGTCCATATCCCCCGACACAGGCACATTAGAATTTGGTTTTCATATACAGTTTATCTGGTACACACAACATGGAGGGAGGCTTTAAGTTACAAAACAATCATTTGACACTGATCTTCACACTCCTGATCAATAGTATCAGAGTGTAAAATTTATTTCATTCAATAGTTTTAAAAAATATTTGTCCCATTTAGAAGCAGACATACAGATGGTATTTTAACAGAGTATTTAACATTTTCCTTCCATTGTTGGTAGGGGTCTCTCAATCTCAAATCTAAAATTGTTAACACTGCAATTAAAATCGCTGGAGTCAGATTTGAATGTTTATCATCAATATATGAGCGGCAAATCGTGAATCAAGCTGTCAAAATTATATCTGACCGTACTCACTACTTACATTCAACCTCCTCCCTTCAGGCTGCCGCTACAAAGTTCCAATTGTGAAAACTAAGAGAGCCCTACATCCTTTATTCCAAGTACCATATCTCTTTTAAACAAATGTGAAGATACCTAAATCAATGAATTTATGTAAATATGTTTTGTATCTCTCTGATGTGTCAGTAGCTCTGCTGATGTAACACAAAGTCCTGAAAAGGCATTAAAGTATTATTCTATTCTATAAACTCCATTCCTGAACTGAACCCATTGATTATCAACAAACACAGTCAAATGTCATGAATGTGTTTATTATCAGGACATCATGCTAATGTATACAATAAATGCAAACCATTTATATATAAAGTACATTTCACTCATGCTCACGGTAGTCACACTATCTAAACACACCATACACAGGACTATGTTTTAGTCTATAATGAACCTCACAAGGACCCACACATTAAATCACAGCTCCATCCTTCTCAAGAATAAACACCTGGGAGTCCTTTCACAAAGCACTAAGGTGATCGTAAGTCACTAAGGTAACCTTAGTGCAATGTTAAAGAATGAGAGTTAAGAGGTAACCTTAGTGCAATGTTCAAGAATGAGCCCCCTTAAGGTTAGCGTTGACTGACTGAGTTTGGTTTTACCCTGCTTTTAGCAATATTCCAACAATATCACAGCCAGGGAACACCTGAACTAGAACCCATTTTGAATCGAAGAGTTTTCTTGACGAGCTAACGCCTCGATTACCCCACCAAGTACTAGAACTCATTTTGAGGAGTTTTTCTTTGTTCAGGGCCTCCGTTTTCAAGCTCTCTTAAGATGGTCGTAAGATAATGTTAATGAATGGCACTTGCGACTATCTTAGAGCAAGGAGAGCTTCGAAAATCTAGACCCTGCTTTCTATCCATCCATCTTGTTGAATCAAAACTTGACATTTACAGAATACCTCTGAACCTGAAGATCTCACAACCTGTCCATAGGTTGCCCGAGTCAACACTGATACTCAATCTCAATGTATTGGTTCTTGAACCCTCAGATGCCAGCTTCTGTCAAGTTTCATTTTTGTACAACCTCAATGCCAAATGTCAAAGTAAACTAAGAAATCGGACCACGTCACAGATGCACCTTTGATTGTAATTCTGCTTGGATGGAGATGACACGAGACTAAGGAAAGTCTTAATGAATGAAAGATCCACAAGCTATGGTCTGGCTTTGATTTTTCACATTTAGAACTGGTGGGTAAATGTGTTTTCAAGATCAGCTATAAAGAGGCTGTCCTGTTGCAGACAGATATCACATTTAATAGAGAAAGCAACTGTTCCTAACAATGTTTTATCCAAGAGACACACAAAACACCTAGTACCTTCCAAGTAGAAATAATCGTCCTGGATGATACAATTCTGGGAATCTTATCTAGAGAGTGAGTGACAGCAGTTTTCTGGCGCTTTTAGCAATATTTCCATGAATATCACGGTGGGGGGACACCACAAATGGGCTTCACAAGTTGTACACATGTGGGGAATCGAACGTGGGTCTTCAGCATGACGAGCCAGCACTTTAACCACTAGGCCACCCCACCACCCCGAATCTAATCTAGAACTACTTCTCAGCTCTCCCCACAATGTCTATCAGTCTAAACAATTTAGTCTGAGGCAAAGAACTTTGGCAGTTATTTTTGGCTCAAAATAAATCACATATTTTGAAAGAATATTCAGCCAACCAGCTCACCTGCCTAGAATATAAAACACACAGTTCCTTAATTTATGGCACATTCAGTCTATATTTTGACACACTGATATTACTTTCTATCACATGTTTATTTGTTTT